CCAGTAGTTCAGTAATCAGCCGACTGCTGGTCAATGCTGATCCATTCAGCTGTGACTTGGACAACTTGTGAGTTTCATTCATTATCACTCCATCATCGTGCTTCCATCGTTATCACTCTATGTTCATCCCTCAGTCATTCCCCCATCATCATAGCTCTATCATAGCTTTATCATCATAACTCCATCACACTTCCATTATCACACCTACTTCACACCTCCATTATCATACCTCCGTTGTACCTCCATCATACATCCATCTTTATATCTCCCTCATTCCTCTGTCATCATACTTCTATCATCATACCGTCATCATACCTCCATCATCATGCCGTCATCATACCTTCATCATACCTCCACCATCATACCTGTCATCATACCTCCATCATCATACCTCCATCATCATGCCGTCATCATACCTTCATCATACCTCCACCATCATACCTCCATCATCATACCTCCATCATCATACTTGCATCATACCTCCATCATCATACCTCCATCATCATACCGTCATCATACCTCCATCATCGTACCTTCATCATACCTTCATCATACCTCCATCATCGTACCTTCATCATACCTCCATCATCATACCGTCATCATACCGTCATCAAACCTCCATCATCGTATCTTCATCATACCACCATCATCATAACTTCATCACACCACCATCATCATACCGTCATCATACCGCCGTCATCGTACCTTCATCATACCTCCATCGTCATACTTTCATCATACTTCCATCATCATACCTTCATCATACTTCCATCATCATACCTTCATCATACCTCCATCATCATACCATCATCATACTTTCATCATACCTTCATCATACTTCCATCATCATACCTCCACCATCATACCATCATCATATCTACACCATCATACTTGTCATCATACCTCCTTCATCATACCTCCACCATCATACCTGTCATCATACCTCCTTCATCATACCTCCACCATCATACCTGTCATCATACCTCCATCATCATACCATCATACTTGTCATCATACCTTCATCATACCTCCACCATCATACCGTCATCATACCTCCATCATCGTACTGTCATCATACCTCCATCATACCTCCATTGTCGTACCTTCATCATACCTCCATCATCATACCATCATACCGCCATCATCATACCGCCATCATCGTACCTTCATCATACCTCCATCATTCCTTCATCATACCTTCATCATTCCTTCATCATACTTCCATCATCATACCTCCACCATCATACCTGTCATTATACCTCCATCATCATACCTTCATCATATCTCCACCATCATACTTGTCATCATACCTCCTTCATCATACCTTCATCATACCTCCACCATCATACCTTCATCATACCTCCACCATCATACCTGTCATCATACCTCCACCATCATACCTTCATCATACCTCCACCATCATACCTTCATCATACCTCTACCATCATACCTGTCATCATATCTCCATCATCGTATCTTCATCATACCTCCATCATACCTCCATCATACCTCTATCATCATACTTACATCATCATACTTGCATCATTCCTCCATCGTACTTGTCATCATATCTCCATCATCTTTTTCATCCCTAAATCGTCATACTTCCATCATCACTCCATCATCATAACTCCATCCTCCCTCCAGCACCATACCTCCATCATATCTCCATCATCATACCTCATCATACCTCTTCATCCCTCCATCATCCCTTGATCAGCATCCCTCTATCATCACACCTCCATCAATATACCTCATCATTCATCCATCACCCCATCGTTCTCACTCCACCATCATGCCTCCTCAATCATCCCACCAACATCCCTCCTTCATTCTTTCCCCTTCATCAACTCTGCATCATCCTTTCCCCTCACCATCCCTTATTCATCGTCTCTCCATCATTCTGCCTCCTCAGTCCTCTCTGCTTCTTTATCATTCTCCCTCCCCCATCATCTCTCTTTGTTTATCATGGTCTGATAATCTCTCCTTTATTTCTCACTCCTGTTTTCTCTCTGCAGTGACTGCTACACTGAGAAATGCGTAATGAATAATTATTTTGGAATCGGACTGGACGCCAAGATTTCACTGGACTTCAACAACAAGAGAGATGAACATCCTGAAAAGTGCAGGTAACACACACACACACACAGTCACACTGTAACACACACAATCACACCATAACATACACACACATGCCGTTAGGTCTGTAACGGTCTGTAGTGGTAGTATGCTGACCCCAGTGGTGGACGTGTCATTGCCTTTTGTTGTCGTGAAATCACAGTTAAGTGCATTTTAAAACTTTTATACCAACTGTGCAGCAAACACTGCTACAGTGCTCACAGTGCAGGCAGGTATCGAGATGTGGTACTTCTATGGTACCAGTCGAGTCACTGAAGTACTATCACACTAACTGTATGTGTCTGATTCAGAAGCCGTACTAAGAACCTGATGTGGTACGGAGTCCTGGGAACGAAAGAGCTGCTGCACAGAACCTACAAGAACCTGGAACAGAGAGTTCTGCTGGAGGTGAGAGAGTGAGACAGACTAGATCTGAGTACACAGGCAGTGTTTTTGTGAGAGATGTTTGATCTGTGTGTGTGTGTGTGTGTGTGTGTGTGTGTGTGTGTGTGTGCGCAGTGTGATGGTCGGCCGATTCCTCTTCCGAGTCTGCAGGGCATCGCTGTGCTCAACATTCCCAGTTACGCTGGAGGAACCAACTTCTGGGGTGGAACTAAAGAGGACGATGTAAGAATCCCAAACCAAAACATACCTCATGTCCCTCTTTTCCTTTTTCCTTTACCCCATCCCTCTTTTTCTTATTCGCTTACCCCGTCCCTCTGTTCCTTTTTTCTTTACCCCATTCGTCTTTTCCTTATTCGCTTACCCCGTCCCTCTATTCCTTTTTCCTTTACTCCATCCCTCTTTTCCTTATTCACTTACCCCGTCCCTCTATTCCTTTTTCCTTTACCCCATCCCTCTTTTCCTTATTCGCTTACCCCGTCCCTCTGTTCCTTTTTTCTTTACCCCATTCGTCTTTTCCTTATTCGCTTACCCCGTCCCTCTATTCCTTTTTCCTTTACTCCATCCCTCTTTTCCTTATTCGCTTACCCCGTCCCTCTATTCCTTTTTCCTTTACCCCATCCCTCTTTTCCTTATTCGCTTACCCCGTCCCTCTATTCCTTTTTCCTTTACCACATCCCTCTACTCCTTATTCCCATATCATGTCTCTCTATTCCTTATTCCCCTATCACGTCCCTTTATTCCTTATTCCCTTATCATGTCCCTCTATTCCTTATTCCCTTATCATGTCCCTCTATTCCTTATTCCCTTATCACGTCCCTTTATTCCTTATTCCCTTATCACGTCCCTCTATTCCTTATTCTCTTACCCTGTCCCTCTGTTTCTTATTCCCTTACCCTGTCCCTCTATTCCTTACTCTCTTCCCCTGTCCCTCTATTCTTTATTCTCTTACCCTGTCCCTCTATTCCTTATTCTCTTCCCCTGTCCCTCTATTCCCCATTCTCTTACCCTGTCCCTCTGTTCCTCATTCTCTTACCCTGTCCCTCTATTCCTTATTCCCTTACTTTGTCCCTCTATTCCTTATTCCCTTACTTTGTCCCTCTGTTTCTTATTCCCTTACCCCATCCCTCTATTCCTTATTCCCTTACACCATCCCTCTGTTTCTTATTCCCTTACCATGTCCTCTTGTTCACTCCTTACCACTTTTTCTATTCTGTGTTCTCCTAAACCATCTTTCTGTTCCTTATTCCTTTATCCCATTCCTCTATTCTTTTTTCTCTAACCTTGTCACTCTATTTTTTATTCTCGTCCCTGGCATTAATGGTTGTGTTTGTATCTTACAGACGTTCGCTGCTCCGTCGTTTGATGATAAGATTTTGGAGGTGGTGGCTGTGTTCGGCAGCATGCAGATGGCTGTATCTCGTGTCATAAACCTGCAGCATCATCGAATAGCTCAGGTAACACAAACACACAAACATTTGTTTGAATACTTTATTAGGACATGGGATCATAAATATGTCCTGTATTTATTACGTATCCTTCAGCTGTATCTCTTAAATACTAACTTCATATGAGATATATGAATATGTATTAAACATATGTACTTACATGTGATGGATATATTAGATGTATGTAAGAATCTGTATAATAGTTTTGATATGTGTTTTTTGTATTATATCTTTGTGTGTAATAATGTCTCATATATTTTACTTATGGAGTAACATGTATATAATAAGAGCTTTAATGTTAGTCTGAGCAACAAAAGAAATGATTTTGTATAAAATGTGTTGAAATGTGTGAGTTGCAGCTGATCTTGTACGTACATGTTTCTGCAGTGCCGTACGGTAAAGATCACCATCCTGGGGGACGAGGGCGTACCTGTACAGGTGGACGGAGAGGCGTGGATTCAGCCTCCAGGATACATCAGGATCGTCCACAAGAACCGCACACAGACACTCACCAGAGACAGGGTACACACACACACACACACACACAAATTGTATACACACACACAGATCTTAGTAATATAGACTGTAATACAGCAGTTCCGGCCATGCAGGCTGATTGGTTGAGAAGCGTTGTAGCTGTGCTGTTATTTCGCCATAACATCACGGTTTTTCACAAACACTGTATCCCTCCGCTGAGACGCCGTTGCTAAGCGACGACTCTGGCAGCTGTAGGAGTTTTTACTTCTTACTTTGCCACAAACAGAAAACGGACACTTTTAAGATCTCATTTGACCGACAGCCGATTTGGTCAGACTCTGAAGATGAGACTTCACTAAATTCCCAAACTGTCATCACCACTGAGCAGCTTTTCAGTCGGCAGCTGTGACAGAAGAACAGCTAAACAACTTGGAATCAGCCAGAAATGAACCCAATACCATTCGCCGAACTAAATGGGCTGTAAGATGCTTTACAGACTGGCTGGAACAAAACAACATTAATACTGATCTGGCAAAAACTGACAAAACTGAGCTGAACTTGATATTGCGACAGTTTTATGGCTCAGTCCGATTTGGTCAGACTCTGAAGATCAGACTACACGTTTGGCGAATGGTATTAGGTTCATTTCTGGCTGATTCCAGGTTGTTTAGCTGTTCTTCTGTCACAGCTGCCGACTGAAAAGCTGCTCAGTGGTGATGGCAGTTTGGGAATTTAGTGTATGGAGCTGGAGAACGAACTGCCGGCTGCGCAGTGAGTGGGCGGAGTTCGTTACTCTGACGTAGCAACAAGCTGCTTGTTAAGGAACTGTAATTTCGTCTCGTGCCTGCGAACAAATCACAGCCATGATGTTATTTTGTGACAACATACTCCCTCTCGTGTTCTATTGCTTAAATAAAAAAAACATTTCTGTTTGAACTTTCTGTTCCACCTTAAGTGGTGCAGCAGTTACACTGTAGTGCCTGCAGGCGTCAGAATGTAACTGCTGCTCCATTTAAGATGGAATGGAAAATATAAATAAGAAGCCAGCTTTAAACTGATATATTTATATATATATATGTGTGTGTGTGTGTGTGTGTGTGTGTGTGTGTGTTGCAGGCATTTGAGAACACTCTAAAGTCGTGGGAAGATAAGCAGAAGTGTGATTTCCCACGGCCCGTATCCCAGCATGCCATTCAGCCTGAGACCGTCTCCGAGGAGGAGACGACTCAGATCAGCCTTTTCGGCCAATCAGCAGGAGCGCTGATACACAGGTACACTAATACACAGGTGTATCAAACACTGAGACTGAGCCTCTTCATGGAGAGTGCTTGAAGGGAAATTCCACTGATTTTTTTTTTATTTTCTGTACAGTTCAGTGGTTGATCTAGTTCATTGTAGAGACTCTTTACAGTAGTGGTGATAGGAACCAGGGGTCGCCATGACTACAACACAAATATAGACATTTTATTTACTATCCAGAACCACCAGTGAACCTACACGAGTCTTCTGAGCTTATATGGAATGTTGATGATGGAAAATAGTGGAAAATCTGAAATAATAAGTTTTCTTTGGGGACTATTTTGCCTCACAGCGCCCTGCATGTATCCCTCCACCATGAATGGAGTTGAAGACTAAATCAGTATTTATTGTGTGTCTGTGTTTTCAGCATTAGGGAGGTCGCTCAGACTCACCCCAGTGTGGAGCAGGAGTTGGCGCATGCGGTGAACGCGAGCTCCAAAGCCATGGACATGGTGTACGCCGACTCCAAAAACAACACGGTCAGTATGCACGTCTGTGAATGTGCACAGGAATGAGTCTTTATTTTCATCCATATCATTGGCCATTTAGTCAGTAGAGCTACTCAGACCACCCTTCACTCCAACGTTCTACTCTTTGTACAGCAGCTGGGGGGCGCTGCTGAGTGATCAATTTTTTATTCGTTTTAGCAAAAAAAAATCAAGAATTAAACTAGAAGGGCAAAGTTTGTGAATGAACTTTAAATAGGCTGGACAGTGCTGTGGAATCCCAGGTGGTTGCTAAGGTGAGGCTAGGCTCTTGCCTTGGTATCCCAGGTGGTTGCTAAGGTGTGGCTAGGCCGTTACCATAGTATCCCAGGTGGTTGCTAAGGTGCGGCTAGACCATTGCTTTGGTATCCCAGGTGGTTGCGAAGGTGAGGCTAGGCTCTTGCCTTGGTATCCCAGGTGGTTGCTAAGGTGTGGCTTGGCCATTACCATGGTATCCCAGGTGATTGCTAAGGTGTGGCTAGGCCATTGCCATGGTATCCCAGGTGGTTGCTAAGGTGTGGCTAGGCCATTGCCTTGGTATCCCAGGTGTTTGCTAAGGTGAAGCTAGGCTCTTGCCTTGGTATCCCAGGTGGTTGCTAAGGTGAGGCTAGGCTCTTGCCTTGGTATCCCAGGTGTTTGCTAAGGTGAGGCTAGGCTCTTGCCGTGGTATCCCAGGTGGTTGCTAAGGTGTGGCTAGGCCATTGCCATGGTATCCCAGGTGGTTGCTAAGGTGTGGCTAGGCCATTGCCTTGGTATCCCAGGTGGTTGCTAAGGTGAAGCTAGGCTCTTGCCTTGGTATCCCAGGTGGTTGCTAAGGTGTGGCTAGGCTCTTGCCTTGGTATCCCAGGTGTTTGCTAAGGTGAGGCTAGGCTCTTGCCTTGGTATCCCAGGTGGTTGCTAAGGTGTGGCTAGGCCATTGCCTTGGTATCCTACTATCTAACCCCAGGTAGTAAGAGGATAGAAGGCCACTGCTGGGTCGCTGAGGGCAAAGCTGGTGGCCCACTGGCTTTTTACTCAGCGTTTTCTGGGCGGCCCTCTGGTGGTTAAACAGAGTGTTAGACAAAATGCCACTTTTCGTCGCTCACTTTCCACTCACAGTTCAGTTTCCTTCATTTCTTTCTTTCGTTGTCTTTTGTAAATTAGTTTAGTAAGTAACTTTTAACAGCCATATCATAAATAAAGCCTGTTATACAGCTGTAACCAATCTAGCACAGCATCAGCAACAACATTTTAAACCAAATAATTAAAAATTTTACTTATATATTTTTTTCTCTCAGTAGTTTGTAATATTTGTCTCCGTTTATTTTCCAAAATAAAAGACTGTATGCGTTAAAAAAAAACCTTTTTGAAGAGATTAAAAACTAGTTAGGCCTTGAATCTGAGAACCTTGCGCTGTAGCAGAGTGTTTGTGTGTGTTTAGGGTCTGACGTGCAGTGTGGTGGTCCAGATGGTCAGTAATGTGAAGGCTCTCCACAGTGAAACTGAGCTGCTGCTAGCAGGCAAGATGTGCCTGGTAAGTACACGATAACGTGTCGACTGATTCTCTCAAAATGATGACTTTTCAGTAGAATTCTCTTTACTGTATGTGGACCCAAGACGCCTGCTAATGAAGCTCACCTGGCTGAGTCAGTTACTAACAGTGGCTGCTAGCAATGTGCACACTGTGCTAAAAGCACATTCAGTATTGAACAATATTAAATTATTTTATTTGTACACTTTAGAATGGCGATTCGCAAGTTTATTCTATTAATTTCATGTTCAATTTTCCATTTATTTTTACTGTTTTTTTTGTAGCTTACAGTATCTTTGAGAACATTGAGGCTAACTCTTTAGCATTAGCTAGAAATCAGCTAGCCTGTTATCCTCGCTATAGTAGCTTTAACCAACATGTTGCTGAACGTTACTGAAAAAGGTCTCTAGTTGATTTTAGTGAAATATGATTTGGCCGTTTAAGCTCAATGAGAACGTTTGTGTGTGTTTAGCAGCTGGACCCGCCGCAGCGAGAGCAGCTGGACAGCGCTTTAGCCTCTGTAGCTCTGCAGCTGCGCAGGCTGGCAGAAATCAGCTGGCTCAGCGCGGTAATCGAGCCGGCCGACGACGAGGTACGCACTGTCTACACATGCTCCACACACACTCTACACACTGACCACACACTAAAATGAAACAGAGCAGGCGAGCTGATGGAACTCCAACACTGCTGAGGCGCTGATGAGGAATGCCAGGCTGTGATATTCAGACTGAGAACTTGTAGAGAGGAGAATTCCCACTCTGCGGTGTCTTCCAAGTTTCTCACACACTAGAGGGCGCTCCCGAGCGAGTCCAAAATGAATGGGTTAATATGGAGCATTTGAGCAAAATCATAGTTTATAAATGCTGAAACATTTTTAATGTAAAAGAATGCAACAATTTCTTGAACACAGAACAGCATAAAACATTTTAACACTGCTGTTACATTTTAAGAGCTTTTAAAGTCGAGTTATAGGAGTTTAAAACGCCGCCTCATGTACGTTCATGACGTCAGTGAGCGCGAACAGCCAATGAGCTGCTCCACTCACCAACCAATCAGCACTCAGTAGCAGTAATGCCCGCCTTCTGCTGCCCAAAACCCGTTTGCTGTAGAAAAAAAGAAACATACAGGTGAGTTTTCTTTGCTGTTTTAGTGAAATCCATCCTTCTACTTTCTAAAATTAAAGGAAAGTTCTGGTTCAGTGACTAGAAACTATTTTAACTTTTAGTTTTTAGACGTTGAGCTCCAGTCACTCCCATTCATTGGGGACTCACTCGCGGGCGCCCTCTGCTGTTTAGCAGTCCTGTTTTTGATATAACGGGGGAAATAGGAAGTGGCCAGGCTCCTCAGAAACCAGCTCCGATTCAGACAAGTACGCTAGGTTAGCCTCGGTGTGCTAATCAGCTAACCATGCAAACTTAATAATGCAAAATGTGTTTTTGGGATGTTTGACCATAACGTAAATGAATTTTGAGTATAATTGCCATGTCTGGCTGTAAGCTTTGATTAAAAACTGATTTGTTGCCTGTTTTTGTTGCTAGCTGTGCAGCCGTTAGCTTGCTAGCTCATACAGAAAACAAGTGTAAAATGTATGAAAATGGCCAAAAAATGTTTGGACGTGTGTTTGGAGTAATGTTTGCAATGAAACATATTTTTATGTGCGGCATACATTTCAAATACTTCGTTTAATTGCAAAAATGATTCCAAACACACTTCCAAACATTTTTTGGCCATTTTCCAGTTTCCCTCATATTGGTGCCAAGCTAGCAGAGCTAATCAGCGTGGGTGGTCCTTATCGCCCATTCAGACTGTTTTCATGACTTTGATATTTACCTCGCTAATGCTAATGTTACACTGTCATGCAGTTAGCTTTAGCTAGCATGGCTAACTGCGGTCCTGTCTGTTTTTTAGAAATAGTGCTATTCATTACAAAATAGGTCAGGAATGATAAAAAAAATCAGCAAATTCAAGGATGATCAGTGTTTCAGTACCACTAAATTAATAGCCAGGTAGGTATCCTACTGTTAGCATTAACCGCCAGGTAAAGATACCTTAACGTTAATTAGCTAGCTAGCTGTTAGCCACAAAAGCTTGATACCAGTTTTATCACAGTAGATATGAATACAGAATAACAGGCGAATGTCTGAGTGAACCGCAGAAACATTGCAGGTGATGCAGCACCTCCTATTCATTGTTAACTCATGGTAACTAACAGCAGGGGGCGCTCTAACCCCTGTTTCTTCTCTACGGCTGCCTGATTCTCTGTGTGTTGTGTGTGTGTGCGCAGGGGAACCCAATGGATTTCTCCAAGCGGAGCCGGAGCGCTAAATTCCGCCTTGTTCCCAAATTTAAGAGGGACAAAAACAACAAGAATAAGGAGATGTTTGCCACCCTCAACCTGCCAGGTAGGACTTCTTACCTGAACATTCCCACCTGCTCCTGTGCCTGCCTTTCAGTCACTCTGGAGTGATAGAGCTCCAATACCTTTGGGATGAGTTCCAGAACTGACCATCCAACATCAGTACCTGACCTCACTAATGCTCAATCAAATCCTCACAGCAATGTTCAACATTTAGAGCCTTTCCAGAAGAGTAGAGGCTGTTACTGCAGCAGACGTGTGGACATGCAGTGTATCTGCTAACAGACTTAATACTAGAGCTCTAAGAAGAGCAGAAAGAGTCTTGCATGAACAAAGTTACTGAGGTTTTTCAAATAAAAGCCAGTATTGATCAGTAAGTTCTGGCTACAGATTATATTGGGAAACCTTGCTCACTTGCACAGACGGGCCACTAGGTGGCGCCAAATACACCATTAAAGTCACGTTGTCGTTCTGTAGTTGGCGTCCTGATCTAAGCAGGTTTTCTCTAAGGGAAAAATGAATGGCATTGTTGACAATCACCACTGTGGTAAACAACCTTGATGCGTTTTTTTGATGTAGCCTTAAAATAATTCTATAATTAAACTACAACACTGTTATTTACCAACATCGGCAACTCGAACTGCAGCCTAAGCGAGCGTTTTGATGACGTCTTCTCAAGCGCAAAAGCGCTTCTTAATCTCTTCAACTCATTGAGACCACCGGTGGTTCCAAAACGCGCTTCATCATATTCTTCATAACTGTCATATTTCATAAGCTACGGTCAAAAGGTGGGGGTCGTATGAGAGCTGTAACGGTCTTCTTTCCAGTCAAATAGACGGGTGATGTAATTTTAAATCCTTATAATAAAAGAAGCTGAACTCAATTTTTTTTGTCTATTGAAAGTCGACCCATTTTTCCACAAATCTGGGCTATAAACTATAAACAGATGGCGTCTCTTCAGTGATCTGCTCTGTAACAATTATTTTTATAAAATAATACAAAGAGCGTCTAAGATTTTTGGCTTTCAGCAGTAAATTGTAAGCATATAGCGATATGTGTGATCATAAAACACGTTCTGTTAATTTGAGGGGAGCATTTACAATAAAAAAAAAAATAAAAATAAAAATTTACATTTCTTTCCTGCAGTTACTGAATAATTTGCCTTACGATTTGGTCATGTTAATTCAGATGGACAAACCAAAATATACCCTGGTCAATAAGAGGTAAGGGGGCGGAGTTAGCGCAGTCAGTTTACTAGGAGGTGAATGCAAGATTGTTTTTGAAAGAAGGTTAAAGATGACAAGATAAATATTTCAAGGCTAACTTAAGTAATAACAATGCAGGCAATGTTCATACCATAAAACACAAATGAGCAAAAAACAAAGGAAGGAATACAATTTGCTCTGTTCAGAAACAGGTAAAGCCAGCTTCTCCGCTGTGTTGGATGAATGACTTTATACGGAATTCCTCTAGTTTTTTTATTTTTTCTGCATAACTCAGTGTGAGATGTAAACAGAGAGATTCAGAGTGGTTTGGTGTGAAATGGTTCAGATGTCTTTACACTGGTGGTGATAGGAACCAGGGGTTGCCATGACTACAACACAAATACAGACATTTTATTTACTATCCAGAACCACCAGTGAACCTACACGAGTCTTCTGAGTTTATTTGGAACGTTGATGATGGAAAATAGTGGAAAATCTGAAATAATAAGTTTTCTTTGGGGACTATTTTGCTGTACATGTATCACTTTTTGTTATGTGCTGTAAACTTTGTGAATGAAGAAGCTGTTTGTGTTTGTTTCCTCCTCAGTGCATCAGTGGGGTGTGGAGGAGGTGGCGGGATGGCTGGAGCAGCTCTGTCTGTCCGAGTATAAGGAGATATTCATCGGTCATGACGTGCGCGGGTCAGAGCTGCTGCACCTGGAGAGACGGGACCTTAAGGTACGGTACCTGGACTCCTCCTGCCCTGCTGGTCTGATTGTGTTTAAATTGATATGGTCTGTAATTTTTCAGCATTATTTGAACACAGAAAGTGCACTTTACACTGTGGGAACGTTTCATGATAAACGGACCAACAGAAATGCTCCAAAAAACACTTGGAATAAAACATTTTTACATTAACTTATAATAAAAATAAAGGAAGCTTTGGCCCTCTCCTGTAAAGTTACGGTTTGTGTCTGAGGCGTAAAGAGAGGTCGTGTAAAAATGAAACTGATTTTGGTGTTCAAAACCCACACAAAGGTCAAAAATGATATGATAAAAATATGGGATGTGGGTTTAATTCACTAAAATCACTGAAATCAGGCCTGACATGTTAAAGAGCCCAAAGCCAACATCATAATTCATTTCTACATGATTATTTTCTGACCTTTGTTTACCTTTTACAAATAAACAGGCTCTTTATGTTAATACATCTTTAAGACTGATATGCTGTAAACAAACCCTGCTTTGATGACCTGCCCTGTTTTGTGCCTTACTAAAAAAAAGCAGAGCTGTGACACTCAATACAGCCTTTGTGTGAATGGGCTGTTTAAACTGCTGTAGGCTGAATTGGTGGATTTACACTGACAAACCAAAAGTTATAGGACAGGAACTAGTGTCGTGTAGGACCCCCTCTAGCCTGGCGAAGTGCAGCAACTCCACATGGCATCAATTCTACTGGACAGAAGAAGTCTGGAGGGATATTGAGCCGTCTGGACAGCCACCCACAGCACTGTGGTGTTTGTATGTGCAGGATCTCTGGTGTGAACGGACCTCTCCACTTCCCATAAACGCCCGATTGGGGCGAACGTGAAGGCCACGTTATTCGTTGGAACTCTCCAGAACCAGTTCTGGACAACTTGGGCCCGATGGCATGGGGCATTATCCTGCTGGAAGATCCCATCATTGTAGGGGTATATAAAGTCCATGAAGGGCTGCAAATGGTCACCAAGCAGTGAACTGTGTCAGTCACCGGTCAATGACATGTTCAGGCAGACCAGTGGACCCGAACCATACCATGAGAACACACCCCACACCAGTAAGAACCACCACCAGCCTGCACAGTGCCTTGTTGACAACTGGGGTCCCCTTCATGGGGTCTGCGCCACACACAAACCCCACCATCAGCCCCAAACAACTGGTACCGTGACTCATCGGACCACGCCACATGTTGCCAGTCTTCTAGGGTCTAGTTAGCAACCTCACAAGCCCAGGCGAGGCGCTGTGTTGTGGTGTTAACAGAGGCACTCTGGTGGGTCTTCTGCTCCCAGATCCCATGGAAGATAAAGACTCTGCACTGACCTGTGGGATAACTTCGGAAGTGGAATGTCTCTTCCGTCTGGCTCCCACTATCATGCCTCGTTCGAGCTCCATTTATTCACGGCTCCTTGCCGTGACCAGGCTGGCCAGTGTTCAACCTCACTCACAACTTACACAGGTGTGGGCGTCCCAAGCCGTCCCCTGAGGTCACTCCACTTCATAATCAATTTACATACTGGTATCCCATGACTTTTGGTGCGTCAGTGTACTACATAAAAGTGTTTTCATTTACAGACAGTGAGGGACTTTTTTCCTTTAACAGGATTTAGAGAGGAATGTGGCTGCAGTTAAACCCTTCTTGCGTGTTTGTTTCAGGATCTGGGCGTGACGAAGGTGGGCCACATGAAGCGGATCCTGCAGGGAATCAGAGATCTGAGCCGGAACAGCACGGCTAGCGAAGCCTAGCGTAGCCGGACGCCCACTCAGACCGGCCAGTCAGCTCACGGGGACCAGCTCGGCCTGGCCAATCAGCTCACGGGGACCAGCTCGGCCTGACCAATCAGCTCACAGGGACCAGCTCGGCCTGGCCAATCAGCTCACAGGGACCAGCTCAATAATCTCAGCCAGAAAATCTCCGTCAGAACTCAGCCAATCAGCACAGTGCCTTCTGCTCGCACACCTGTGACAACACAGCCTTCAGGGGAATCCTGCTCTACTGCCACACTGATGGGGGGGGTTGGGAGTTGGGGGGGTTAAACAAAGGGCTCCCAGTGTTATCAGAGGTGGAGCAGGACCAAACTGACCGATCAGAAGAAAACGGAGAGAGAGAGTGACCTCTAGTGGCAGAGAGAAGAAACACATGTTAGACAGAAGTTAAAGGTGGAACTCACTCACTGTGTTGTTTGTTTGTTTGGTTTTCTTTGGGGGGGGGGTCACACTGTTCTTTGAAGGCTGTTTTCGGCTGTGCGCACTCCTCAACAACAGCTTCATAACTGTCAGCTAGCTGTGCATAGATATTTTCGGGGGGCAGGCAGGCGCTCCTGGGGAAAAACCTCATTTAGTTACCTGTATGTCACAGCGAGTCTCATCAAGAGAGACACTGTAAGCATGTTTCAGGGAGTTTATTCCCCACAGTGAAGCCAAAAAACACACTTTTGTTGCCCAATCAGGGACTTGAACCCCCGTCGCCAGCGTAGAGGGGTGAAACGTTACCTACTATACTACCTAACCGCACTGAACCTCTGAGTTTCAGCTCCGTTGAAGAGCTTTGTGGAGCGTAAAACTGAAACAGGGCTTTTTAAGTGATCAGCACCCTTTACTGTTTATATCATGTGGGGTTCAGAGTAGCTGATCTGTCCATCTGCTGTTGTACGTCCTTTTCTGTGCCTAAGAGAGAGACAGGAGACGAGGGCGTTTTCACACTCGTCATGAAAGCTCGACCCGTTCTGGGCTGGTTTGGAGGGGGGCGCTCATTATTACTGGTTTGCTTTCACACACAAGAACTCAATCCGAATCGTTGATCGATCCACATGTCACTGTTCTGCATGCAGGTTGTCAGAAATGTCGGCGCAGCTGCTTTTTGTTATTCTGTTATTTTCTTTGGATACAAACACTGAAGTGGTGAAAAGCAGCGCCTTCTGTCCAAAACTACCCTTTTCCCACCATCACAGAACTTGAAAAGGGGAAGTGATGCGATAAGTCGAACCAGTCACTTACAAAATGAACCAATCACGCGAGTAGGGTCTGTCTGCTGACATGCACCGCCAGTCAATTGATGACGTCAGTGCCGCTCTGCCACGACAGGGTTTTTGTTGGTTTTATGAGGAAAAACAGCAAAACACAAACTGCTGAGCAACAAGAGCTACACTGAACACATATTAACGTTGTTTTACTGATAATAAGGTATTAAACATGGAAACTTTCTCAATAAAACCACGACGATAAGACAGGAATGTCACAGAGAGCAGGCGGAGCTGGATCCGGAACAAAGCTCTAGTGTGAAAACGCCCTGAGGTTCTCTGCTGGAGAACGTGTTGCCCAGCAGTCTGACCGCAGGCTGTTATACTGGGTATTTCCCAGCTGCATCCGCTAAGGTTCCTATATCAGGACCAGAGACCTTCTGCTGTAAACACGCACAACAACAGCTTAACTAGCAAACCAGAAGAAGCTAAACTAAACTAAGCTGCGCTTATTTATGATTTATTTGTGATTTTGATCTGTGAAGCTCTGCGGTCTCTAATCTCTCCACACAGAAAACACAAAAACAGCCCTCAAAAACGCGTCTGTCCCTCAAAAATGCGCCTGTCCCCGCAAAGAACGCGCCTGTCCCCGCAAAAACACGCCTGTCTCTCAAAAACACGCCTGTCCCCGCGAAAACAGCTGGAGCTCAGAGCGACGGGCCTCAGGAAACGTGAACACTGTGACCCCCTAGAGGGGAGTGAGGGGTGTGACATCAGTGCCATGAAACTATTCTCTCAGCCATTCATTCTCACAATCACTCTCTCACACTGTCTCTCTCTCTCTGTCACTCTCTCTCACATGCGTCACGACAATCAGTCAATCAGTCGCAGCAGAATCACTGACTGATTAAAGTCCAGGTTTACCAGATGAAACCCACAACATAATCTACCCTAAGTGTGTGTGTCTGTGTGTGTGTGTGTGTGTGTGTGTGTGTGTGTGTGTGTGTGTGGTCTTTTCTTTCTGAGCAGCTTCAGAATGCCTTACTCAGTCCAGCTCACCGTAATCTCATATCACCACTGACTGGCCCATGTTAGCGTTGGGGTGTGTGTTAGTGTTGAGTTGTGTAGTAGTGTTGGGTTGCGAGTTAGTGTTGCACTGCATGTTAGCACTGAGTTATGTGTTAGCGTTGGGTTGCGTGTTAGTGAGTCCATTTACGGCAAACAGACGCAGATTAAAATATTTGATTTAGTCGTTAATTAAATACCCTGTAAGGCCAGCTGTGGTTGTGATCGTGTCTAAGATCTAATTAAACATCCCTAAAAAAGCTGATTGACTTAAATCAACACACACCGTTTGAATAAAGCAGGATTAGCGGATGGCTTAAGGTCAGCGTGTTGGTCAGAGTTCCTAAGACTGTAATTAAGAATCATTAAATCCTGAATCAACACTCGAGCTGCGTGTACGTTAACAGTGTAACGCGATGCAGTGACCGTGCCCCGCTGACCGAAGCCCTGTAGCTGCTGTGTCTCTAATCTCTCCGTCCTCGTTTCTCCTCTGAAGCTGGTCAGACTGGAAAACACATCCGAGATCCTCAAAACATTCCATTCGTACTGAAGTCCTGCAGAGCGAAGAGGCCCTGCGGTCACTCTCAGTGTTACACGGTAACTGTTCAGTCCGGGTTAGGGTTGGTGCTGAGGTCTGGACTGAGGCTCAGGATTACAGTCAGTAAACGCTGTACGGCCCACACAGCCGCCCTGAACCACACGTCTCTGCGCGTATGTGTGTGTGATTACTCATATCATGTGGTCCTGGAGGCTGCCAGCGGTGTCCGTTCTGTCTGCCTGTTCAATATTTATTACTAAGTTATAACGGAATATACATATGCTGTTTGTCTTCTGTTCTGTGTACATAGGCCGAGTCTAAGACTGTAAATACGTTCTTAATGTACAGTGGAACAATCTGGATTAAAATATGTTCTGTGTTAAACGTCTCCCGTTTCAGATTTCTGTCTGTTGGAAAGTGGCGTACAAATAAATCTGATATAAACTCGTTATAAACTTGTTTCAGAAGCAATTCTGACGTCAGTATTCAACTAGATTTTTTGTGTTTGAAGGACTTGATTCTGTTTAATCAGGGTTTAGTTCTGTTCTGCACAAGTTGGTTTGGTTCAGATAAATAAATGATGTCTAAAGCATAAAAGCCCAGTCATTTGAGGGTGGATGGGCCTGTAGCATAAGCCCCGCCCACTTGACTCTGATAGGCTGCACTCTGAATATGAATATAAGCAGCATGACTGCTTATCAATGTTCTGTAAACAACTGGCCAAAATTATTTGTTTTTGCTTCTCAGAAGTGCCGCATCTTGGCTGTCAAAGCAAAACTGTAACGAGCTAATGAGCTTTATAATTAGACATTTTGACAGAATTGTTGATTAGATTCCACTAAAATCTCCACAAACCTGATCCTTGATTAGCTGCAGATCATGAAATCCAGCCATTAGATAATGGAGATGTTTTTATTTTAATTCTTCCAGGCAGAACGTCACAAATACTGAGTGTATTTTGCATTAATTATTGGGGAACAACATATTAAAACAACTAAGAGAGTTGGGCTATTTGGGTGACTATTGAGCTCCAGTGTTTGTTAGCAATGTTAGCATCAACCACTCCAGTTCTTAATGGTAATGTTAAAATCACCAATGACCTTACAGTTTAGTCCTACACTATATACTTAAAAAAGGTGGATCTTCTAGGGTTCTTTAGTAAAGGTGTTTAGAACCATGAGTCCTATATAGAACCAAATGGTTCTTTGCATGGTGAATTGGTTCTTCAGATTGATGGAGAATGTGTTGTATATTGTTCTAGGTAGAATCTTCTTTGAAAATGGTTCTGTATAGCACCAAAAAGAGTTCTTCTGTTGTTATGATGTTAAGCTTGAAAAAATAGAAGAACCATTTTTGGTGCTATATAGAACCATTTTAAGAAAAGATTCGACCAATTTACAACACATTCTCTGTCGATCTGAAAAACCATTTTACCATGCAAAGAACCATTTAAGCATGAAATGGTTCTATGTAGGACTCATGGTTCTTAAAAGAGCCATTCTCTGTACTGAAGAACCCTTGAAGAACCATCTTTTCTAAGTGTGTGAAGTTAGGCCTAATCTGTGTCCAGGAAACGGACCCTGAGAGTTTACCTAATGACATTTGAGTTGGGCTATTTGGGTGACTATTGAGCTCCAGTGTTTGTTAGCAACATTTGTTAGTTCTAAATGACGTTAAATCACCACTGGCATCACAGTTTAGTCCTATACTAGGCTTAATCCGTGTCCAGGAAACTGACCCTGAGTGTTTACTTGAATGTGATCTTTCTCCCAGTGAATTTTTAGTCCGTCAGTAAGAGTTTATCTGTATATTTACCAGTGGTGGACAGTAATGAAGTAAATGTAATTCGTTGCTGTACTTAAGTAGTTTTTTCGTGTATCTGTACTGAAGTTTTTCCATTTTTGGCCAACTTTTTACTTTCACTCCACCACATTTCAAAGTCAAATATCTCACTTTTTACTCCACTACATTTTGAGAAATCTGTCGTTCCTTTTGGTTTATGTGTGTATAAAAACGTAACACGTCAAAATGAAAGAAGCGCAAAGCAAGAACACCAATCAGGGCACAGCGGTCACTTTGTTTTGAGCTTGTTTTGACCTGTTGGTCATACCGGCCCAGTGCAGCACACGGTTCAACATCAGTGCAGCAGCATAAAATTTTGGGAGAGTCTATTCAACATAAATGATGAACTAACCTAACTTTGTGTAAACAGACCACAATATAGAAATATGTACTCATATGCAGTTGTGACTGACGTGTCTTTTTTTCTGAATTCATACAAACACTTTCATTTTATAGTAGATTAGTTTTGGCTAGTTTATGTTTATGAACAGAGACCTACAGATGCAGTTTAGTAAAGGAAACTCATTTGTGAGTTTAAAGCAAGTTTTTATTAAACTTAAACTTGTAAATAAATCTTAAACTGAAACTTTGCTTGTTTGTAAAAAGTGATTTCAGAGCCACTCAGTTCTACCTGATGGAAACTGTTTACCTTCGGTGTTTTGTGCTTATGATCATTTTAATAGACATCAGCGTCACTAATTAATGACTCTATTAAAAGACTGGTTTACCAAGAGTGACTCTGAGTATTTTCACCTAAAATGAGTTAATGAAGCAGAGTCTTGTTACAGTAATGATAACAGGACATCAGAGTCATAATTAATCTTTTAGTACTTTCACTTTCGATACTTAAGTACATTTGAAGGCAAATACTTTAGTACTTTTACTCAAGTGGAGGTCTAAAGGGAGGAACTTCTACTTTTACTGGAGGAATATTTTACCTCTCTACTTTAACTCAGGTACATGGTTTGTGTGCTTCGTCCACCGCTGATATTTATAGTTTACTGAGCGCGTTTGTGTGGATTAAAGTAGTAATCGAGTTTAGATTTGCTTAATTAAGTACTGATTTGACATATTAAAACATATATGAAGTTTAAAAACGAAGAAAAGTGACCTGCGTTGGCCGGGAATCGAACCCGGGTCAACTGCTTGGAAGGCAGCTATGCTAACCACTATACCACCAACGCTTGGCGGGAAAACTTGAGACCGAGAGACCATAAAAGCTGGAAAAATGGAGACTCATTGCTGTATTTACTGTGGTGTTTCTCTGACATTATTCTCACCGTTTTTACCACAGCTTTCCCCACCAGACACGTTAAAAACTGTTTCTGACGAAGTTGGCCAGCTTATTATTATCCGCCAGCTCCTTGTTCGAAGTTCCCCGTTCCACCTTAAACGGTGCTACTGACCTGCTGCACCATTTAAGGTGGAACGGGAAAATTCGAACCAGAAGCTTCGAGTAGGAGTTCAGGTTCAGCCTCGTCGCTTTGTCTGCCTTTACTGTCCGTTTCAGACGTTCTCAGTACTGTAATCGAGCCCGAATCGCTTCACCGGGCGTCGTTAATCCCCGCTAGCCGGCTCGGTTGAACTGAACCGCTGTGTTCGTTGGTTTTTAAATGCGTGATATTATTAAACATCCGCAGCGTTAGCTAGGCTACTATAGTGAAGCTAGCAGCGCTTAGGATGGAGCTCAGCTAAGATAAGCTAACCTGACCGTTTGTGGAAGTCATTTACAGTCATTTGAAGATTTCTGGGAGTCATTTTGTCTATTAGTGTGTGGTTTTTGAATTTGGATGGTTTAGTTGTTTACAAAAGCCGAAATCCGCTCCGTTAGCTTAGCTAAAAGTGTAGCATTAGCGTTAGCGCTCAGAGGAGCTAACGGCTAATCCAGGCGAATTGAATGGATTTGTTCGGAGACCTGCCTGCGCCAACTAACGCAGGTTAGAGACTGATACACCTCATTTTTATGATACTCCAGCAACACTAAACCATTTCAGTAAATAACTCGGATAAACCCACATTATGAGCCACACCGTTAGCCTCGACAGCGGTTCTAGCTAAGCTAGCCTCACACAGGTAACCTAGCAGTGCAGGTTTTCAAGGGAACCTTGAGTGCTATGTAGAACCATTTCATGCCTAAATGGTTCTCTGCATGGTGAAATGGTTCTTCAGATTGATGGAGAATGTGTTTAGCACTAAAAAGTGGTCAAACATAATAATAGGAGAACCCTTTTTGGGTGCTATAACGTTAAAGGGCCGTTTTCAAGAAGGTTCTACATAGAATCATGCACATCGTTCTTTAAGTGTTCATGGTTCCGTATAGAATCCTTGAAGAACCGTCTTGGGTGTTGTAGCAATAGAATAAACATTTTTGCTGCTATATAGAGCCCTTTTCACTATGCAAAGAACCACTTAAGCATGCAAATGGTTCTGTATAGAACCATTGTCTTTACTGAAGAACCCTTGAAGAACCGTCTTGGGTGTTGTAGCAGTAGAATAAACATTTGGTGCTATATAGAACCCTTTTCATTATACAAAGAACCACTTAAGCATGCAAATGGTTCTGTATAGAACCATTGTCTTTACTGAAGAACCCTTGAAGAACCGTCTTGAGTGTTGTAGCAGTAGAATAAACATTTGGTGCTATATAGAACCCTTTTCACAAAGAGTCTATATAGAACCATACACAACACATTCTCTGTTAATCTAAAGAACTATTTCAGTATGTAAAGAACCACTTAAGCATGCAAATGGTTCTATATAAAACTTGTGGTTCTAAATAGGACCATACACTTTAGTAAGAGGAACCCTTGAAGAACCATTTTTTCTAAGTATGTAAAGTTAGGACTAATCTGTGTCGAGGAAACTGACCCTGAGAGTTTACCTAATGACATTTAATGATTTGGGCTATTTGGGTGACTATTGAGTTCTAGTGTTTGTTAGCAGTGTTAGCCTCGCCCACTCCAGTTCAGTGTCCTTTCTAAGAGTGTCCTTCTCTGTGACGGTTCATACTTACTATGCTTTTTAAGAACACAGGTATAAACTCCCTCTGCTCAAGAAACAGGTCCCTTTAAAGAGGAATTCCACTGATTTTCCGAAAATCCCCCCCATAATTCAGTGTGTGAGGTGTAAACAGAGTGACTCAGAGTGGTTTGGTGTGAAATGGTTCAGATGTCTTTACAGTGGTGGTGATAGGAACCAGGGGTCGCCATGACTACAACACAAATATAGACATTTTATTTACTATCCAGAACCACCAGTGAACCTACACGAGTCTACTGAGTTTATGTGGAGTGTTAATGATGGAAAATAGTGGAAAATCTGAAATAATAAATTTTCTTTGGGGACTGTTTTGCCTCACAGCGCCCTGCATGTATCCCTCCACCATGAATGGAGTTTAAGTTCTCTAAACTATCATAAAACAGTGTCTCAGTCATCAGGCAGTGAATTCATAACCATTTCATGTAGTAACTTTCTGTGAGGGAGCTTTTAGAGGTGGACGTCTGGTTCCTATCACCACCACTGTGAACAGTTCTGAAGTAAACTTTGTCTTACTGATTAATTCTGCTCTAATTCTGTAATTTGCTGTGTGAGCAGGCGCAGGAGTTAAAAATGAAGCTCCCCGACAGGAGGAGGACCGCGGGGAGAAGAGGAAACGGGACGGTGACCTGGAGAACACGCAGGTGGACGAGAAGAATAAGGCGGAAAAGAAAGTTTGTAAAGGTTTTCAGCACGTCTACACCAACTCTGTCTGCAGAGAGAGCGTGTTTGGTGTATGTTTGACCCCAGGTTGATTGTTTGCGTTTGTGTTGTTGTTTGTGTGCCGTGTCAGGACTGGCTAAGCTGAAGGGCTTTGTGGCGGCGCGGCGCGGAGAGCGTGAGGAAATGCAGGACGCTCACGTTCTCTTACCGGACCTCAGCGCGAGTGTGCAGACGTTGCCGTCACACGTGTGAGTACAATTCACAAAGTAGGTCCTTTATTGAGAGGTTCCCTCCATAATACACGCTTGGTTTAGTTCTGTTGTGTGTCTGATGGATTTAGCTGTTTTTTAGGGATGCTCCAAGGTTCTTCAAAGGTTCTTTAGAAAAGAAAATGGTTCTATATAGAACCTTATACAACAGTTAGTTCTGGCCATGCAAGCTGATTAGTTGAGAAGCTGTAGGAGACGCTCAAGCCATTTAAACGTTTTTACTTCTTACTTGGCCACAAACAGAAAATGGACACTTTTAAGATCACATTTGACCGACAGCCGATTTGGTCAGACTCTGAAGATGAGGCTACACTAAATTCCCAAACTGTCATCACCACTGAGCAGCTTTTCAGTCGGCAGCTGTGACAGAAGAACAGCTAAACAACCTGGAATCAGTCAGAAATGAACCCAACACCATTCGCCAAACTAAATGGGCTGTAAGATGCTTTACAGACTGGCTGGAACAAAACAACATTAATATTGATCTGGCAAAAAATGACAAAACTGAGCTAAACTTGATATTGTGGCAGGTTTATGGCTCAGTCTGATTTGGTCAGACTCTGAAGATCAGACTACACGTTTGGCGAATGGTATTAGGTTCATTTCTGGCTGATTCCAGGTTGTTTAGCTGTTCTTCTGTCACAGCTGCCGACTGAAAAGCTGCTCAGTGGTGATGACAGTTTGGGAATTTAGTGTGAGGAGCTGGAGAACGAACTGCCGGCTGTGCAGTGAGTGGGCGGAGTTCGCTACTCTGACGTAGCAACAAGCTGCTCGTTAAGGAACTGTAATTTGGTGAAAGAACTGCGAACATTAAAACATATTAAATGAGAGAGCACAATTGTCTTCTCTCTCTGGGTGGGCAGGACGGCCCCCCGTCTCCCCCAATCACTCAGCGCGATGCTAGTCAGCGCAGTGCAGTCAGTTAGCTGACGTAGCAGATCTGGTGGTTGGCGTCTCCTTTGAGCGCGATCAGATGTACAGTGACGCTGCGTGAGCGGGAGTTCGTAAAGATGCGGTGGAGCTTCACAGAACTCAGAGGAAGACTGTGTTTACCTTCACCCTCCTAGAGCTGGTGGTATCATGTGATTTGGGGGAGTCCTGACTAGTGGGTGGAATTGGAGACTGCTTTAGGCTGAACTGTTTTAGGCTGAATAGGCAGATATATGCAAATATGTTGGTTTTTGTGACCTCACAAAAACAACAAATTCTAATGGGCTTAGTACATGTTTGGTATGTGGGCTGGGGAGTTAACAGTACTTTCTGAGACTTTACTATCAAACTCTTTATTTAAAAAGCAAGTAAAATAAAAGATTTTCATGATATGGGCCCTTTAATACCATTTGAGAATGCATTCGGCTGCACTTTCTAGGACGGCAGTTAGATGGCAGGAATAAACAGGCTAAACTTAGTAGAAACTATTTTTTTCAACTTATAACTTAGGAATTGGCTCTAATTCACCATATCGCTGTTGTTGGGAAGAAAACCTCCATTTTTGACGTTTTTCATTTTTTTTGACATAATTTGAAAATACCTGTTGCCCTTTACGTTGTATGTACATTTAATGATGAATGGACCAAAAGAAACGACCCAAAATGACTTGGAAGAAAATCCGGTTCCATTGACTTACATTAAAAGTGAAGTATGTTTTTTCCTTCTCCTGTAAAGTTACCATTTTGGAGATACAAGCTTTTCTTCTGACAACAGCGAAATGTTGTTATGAGTTTTTCTAATTAACAAACGTTCCTGATAGCGTTTATGTCGACGGGCTTCGTGCAAAATCCGGGTTTTGAAACGTTGAATCAGAATGTAGTAGTTGATTCATTTTGCTTAAATGGTTCAGACGGTTGTCATTGAGCTGTTTTGTGTGTGTGTGCAGGTCCAGGCTGGCGTATTTTGCTGTGTTTGATGGCCACGGCGGAGCTCGAGCGTCTCAGTTTGCTGCTGAAAATCTGCATCAGACACTGATCAGCAAATTCCCCAAAGGTAAAATCAGTAAAGCACTAAAGACCTCTTCATCCTCATCCCAGCTCTGTTCTTCTCCGGCTCAACCCATACTCTGCTCTACACTCCACACTCTGTCCAGGTGAGGTGGAGAATCTGGATAAGCTGGTGAAGAAATGTCTGCTGGACTCTTTCCGTCAGACTGACGAGGACTTCCTGAAGAAAGCCTCCAGCCAGTGAGTGCATGTGTTGTGTTTGTATGTGCTGAATGTGTGCACTGTGATATTTTTCTTAATATTGTTATCAAAAAAATCTTTGCCGACAGCAACAGTGTTTTTGTAAATCTCTCCGTCCACACGAGAACGCAAAAACGACCTCGCTTGAGCATCCCAGCCCAGCAGGGGGTGATAAAACCTCATACAATTTGATGCAGAACGCCTCAAACATTATGAGCACACTGCAGACATGAGCAGTGTCTCAGAGCTAAGGATGTAGTCGAGGTAGGAGAGAACGTCCTAGCACCGCTCCACGAGGGCTTCTCCTCAGTGTTCACTCATGCACATTTGACATGCTCAGTAAAGGAAAACAGCTAAAGACGCACAAGTTGACGTCGGCATGTTTAAACAGCTGTGTTGTGCTTGTTCACACGCAAACACTCAAACGTCTGACTGTGACGGACTGTCTGATTGTGTGTTACAGGAAGCCAGCGTGGAAGGATGGTTCTACAGCTACGTGTCTGCTGGCTGTGGACGATGTTCTATATGTAGCCAACCTGGGAGACAGCAGAGTGAGTACAGAACCTTCGGCCATGATCCCATCCTTTATCAATGGGTAGAAGATGTCATCCACTTCACAAGTGAGACTGAAAATATGCTTTTAATGCTTTTGTAATTGTCAGAATGCATACGTCACAAACACAAGCCAGAGAGTTAACTCGCATAATCTCACTAGTGAGCTCGCTACCGACACCGTGTACCGTACGAGTGCTGTATAGTTCAGAATCTGCCCATGTAAACTACACTGTCAACAGATCTGTATTAAACCATATATTTGCATTATTATATGAGACCATCGTGGACTTAATGAAGAGAGAGCCGTTCCCTCTCTACTTTCTGAGAAGTGTAGTTTGCCATTCGTGACCTGACTGGCTCAATGCAATGCAATTTGAAATCAGCTGCACTTTTTTGCCACAGTAGAGGCAGATTTCCCCACCCTGCACCACTGAAACGAACAGGAAGGCGTCAAGTCCAATCTTTACCTGATGCCGGACTCATACCGAACGACTTTTCAAGCGATTTCACTGAGTGCGTTTACATGCACTCAGTAATCTGATCATGATCGGATTTCTGCAGTTATCTGATAATTCAGATGGTGATGTAAACACCATACTTCGATCTAGAGATCTGATTAGGAAATCTGATAAAGAGGCTGGATTGTAGCTCAGTAATCAGATTTCTCAGTGTATGTAAACTCTTTCTCTGATTTCTTTCGGATTTCTCAGTCTGAGCATGTCCGAAAACAGACGGTGGTATCGGAAATAAGCGAGCAGCGTCGTCGCGAGACGCAGCAAAACACTTGTGGAGCGACGCTGAAACCAAATACGGAATAAAGGATGTAAATATTCTTCATCTTCTAGATGATATATGTTCATATTTTCAGGTAAAGTGGGGCAACGTTTTTAAAAGAGTTTGAGGTTCATGTTACATTTATTGTTTATTGAGTTTATTGGCTGGTTGCAAAGCAGAAATCTGATTACTGTCTGACTCCTGTAGACCTGGAGTTTCCCCATTATCTGATTACCCTAGTCCATGTAAACGTATTGATCGGATTACTGATGAAATCTGATTTTCTGCAGTTGTCGGATTACTAAGTGCACGTAAACACACTCAGTGTTTCAAACAAATTTCCAACGTTGGAATAAAATCATGAGAGTCTTGCTGTTGTCACATCACACTTGCATCATCTCGATCGTTTGGTGTGAGGTGGTCAGGGTGGCCGTCTTATTTCAGCCTTCTTCTCGTCTTGACGTTGTGATAAAATCAACCGTTTAGTATTATCCTAAGCTTGAAGTCTCGGCTCATGCAAATAGTGACGTGGCAGGGGTGTGCAAGAGAGCGAGCGAGAGAACAAGAGAGGGAATGAGAGAATGAATAAGAGAGCTCGGGAAAAGGTTCAGCATGAGAGCCTGAAATCTCTGTAAGAAAGGCAAATCTGCTTCACTTTAAAACTATAATCACGTTAACAGTGTAAACTGGCTGTTTAAGTGTTTCAGGCTCACTGAGTCTCTAACAGTGATGTAGGGAAATGTGCAGGACTTTTGGAATGACATTATTGAAGAAGCATCTCTGTTCTTTCCATGTCTTACTGGGGAATAATCAGAAAAATCTAGTTGCAGTCTTGCAAAGTGACCCTGCAGGATCCCCAGTCTTCGCAAAACCCCAGTCTGTGATTAAAACTCTGTGACATTGTCTTCAAATGTGAGAGTTTCAGACTTTAGTCTTTTCAGGCTCTTCTAAGGTACGGTTAGCATTAAACTACCAAACTTCACCTGTAACCCTGAACCTGGCGCTGACTGTTCATCTTTCACACCGTTCCTCTCCTGTGTGTGTGTCTGTGTTCAGGCTGTACTGTGTCGAATGGAGCAGACGGACAGTGGAGAGGAAAGCTGTGTAACTCTGGCTCTCAGTAAAGAACACAACCCCACCATCTACGAGGAGCGCATGAGGATACAGCGCGCCGGAGGAACCGTCAGGTCTGTCTGTGAACACCGGCACCAGTGACCTTCCGAATCAACTCGCCCAGGGGTCACACACTCCACACAAAACCTGGAAATTTATAGGTTCACCTGTCAGTTGATTAATCAAAATCTGGAAAATAGTGTAAAGTTGGGTCACTAAGCTACTGAGATCGAATACCTAGCATATTTTTAACTTATAATACCCAGGTTGAATATCTTGACTATATATTTTAACAAGTGAAACAGGACCTAAACTCATCCTTTAGTTTTCAGTTCACTTTTTTCAATATACTGTTGTTTCCCTCAGCAATACCTTAGAATTACTGTGATAAAAGAATGAATCACTGTTACATAATTGAGATTGTGGAATAATAATGTGAGCTAAAATAAAAAAATAATGCCACATTAGTTTGTTCTGTATTTAGATGTAAACAGTGCTGCTCGTATTGTCAGTAAGGGCACATTAATACATTTCATTATTATGTAGTTGTGGGGAAACTGACCAGTCTAACTGTGTGTGTGTGTGTGTGTAGAGATGGGCGTGTGTTGGGTGTGTTAGAAGTGTCCCGCTCTATAGGTGATGGTCAGTATAAACGCTGCGGAGTGATCTCTACGCCCGACCTGCGCCGCTGCCAGCTCAGCCCGAAGGACAGGTGAGTCTCACATACCTACAACCATATGTGAGAGTTTGAACACCTCCACCATCAACAAGTTACATGTTGATTGTCTAATGCCGAGTTCACACGTCACGATTTTAGCCCTGATTTTACACTCACAGACAGTTTTTGGAGATGGTAGAGAAAAGCTCCAGATCTGAGGCACCTCGGCGTTCGCTCGAGGGTCTCAAATCGGCTCTCGGTCACTATGTGTGAACTGTTTAAAGACGCCGTCAGAGAGAGTCGGTGATGCATGACAGACATCTAATGGCTAAATATCTGGACCTGTCAGGGAATCCAAATCAAGTGAGTGCGGCGACGTGCTACAGCCAATGAGAGCGCAGGACATGGGGAAACCTGGGAGTGGAGCTTTACATCAACAGCCGTTCTCTCTCCCACATTGTTTCTTTTTCCTTCTTGTTGTTTCCTCCTTTTACTGCAAATCAGCGCACAAACAACTTGGATCGTTTGCTTCCTGCTGACATTCATTTTCTCACGCATGAGTGAGAAACTGGTGAAAGATCTTGTAACGTGATCCTCTGTTGCTGATCAGTCACGTAGACTGACTTCAAGATTCCCGATTACAAGACAGCACGTTGTGTAGTGTGTCTGTGGGTTAAGCGGGAATGGTGCCATTTTTCTGCTTATTTTAGTGCCCAGTTTCTGTTTATTTGCTGAGTTTAACAAATTGGAAGAACATAAAATATAAAATATTCCATAACTTTTGCACAGGCCACATTTTATTTTTTTTTACATTTACATTTACATTACATCATTTAGCATTTTTTCCCCACCCTAATGGGTTAAATTCAGCAGATAAACAGTAATTGTGCATTAAAATGTGCCGAAGTATGTTCTCCGTAGAGTTAACTTATTTACACTTAGAAAATCAACGGCAACGTGAAATTTGACTGGCAGTGCCTAAACGCTTGCGTACGACTGTTAATATACACCCACCCCATTGAGCTCATTCCCTAATTATTTTGTTCAGTGTTAAGACTTGGTGGTAAATGTTTGTCGTCCTGTGTTTAGGTTTGTGATCCTGGCCTGTGACGGACTCTTCAAAGTGTTCTCTGCAGAAGAAGCTGTTAAATTTGTCCACAAAATCCTACAGGTGGGTGTTTGTGTACACATTTGAGTGTGTATGCATGAATATTTGAATGTGCTGTCTTGATTACTTGATTAAAATTATTGATTATTTGCTATTTTCAGTGATAACCGGAGTGTTCTCATGTCATTATAAAATGTCATTACGTTTGTCAGACTGAAGGTTCTCCATAAGGGGGAGCTGTTAGAACTCCACTAGTTTTTTTGTGTGCCTCATTGAAAGAGAGGAAACCCACACCAGCAGGATCTTACCGATACGTGTACGTCTGCAGTCACAGATCGCGTTTATATGGAGTAAACACCCACCTACCTAGGAACGCAGTCTTTGAGGTCTTGTTTTTGTTTAAATGTCATACAGTGTGAAAGATTACGTTTCATTTAAAATGAGAAAAAATCAAGTTCACACTGAGGGGGAGGTCTGCAGAGTTTGTGAACGCCGGGTCTCCATTTATTTCTAAATGGACTAATTTTCAGTGTTGCTCGTGGGAGCAGGCGGAAATCCGATCCCTTCAGGCGGGAGCGGGCGGAAATCCGATCCCTTCAGACGGGAGCGGGCAGAAGCTCGCTTATAAAATCCTGCAAAGTAATGAACAGCTTAAATAAAGCAGAACGATCACTAAATCATATATAAACAATATAACAGTAAAACAGTTCAAATTAATAAAGTCATTCTCAAACAACCCGAGAACAACATGCAGATTCTTATAGGTCTGATTCACACATACTGCGTCTGTGTGGCGCGAAGCGGCAGAGCATCCCAGGCGGCGCACTGAAGTGCCGCAGTATTTAGAGAACAGACCCAAGGCAGATTTTTTCTGTCACATCATGCAGCAAAATACACTAAATAAGTCATGAAAATCAGTGACAATAAAACAGAAAACTGTATAAAAACTTAAAAAGGCGATTTTTATGTAATTCATGACGAAATACTAGTTGCATTCTGTGCTGCAGACAGATTTTCCCGGTTGATCTACAGGCTTGAAACTTCTGCCTAATCAGAAGTCAGAATGCTGTCGAGGATAAACAAATATACTGTGTACTTTTATAAATGATATTTTTATTGATCAGAGTGACTGATGTGGCCATTTATCCGTCTGGAAACAGGAATGTCTGCATATCTTTCTCGCTGCTCCACATCTCGCTTTATGAATGAAAGGCCAGTGTGTCCGAGCTGTAGCGCTCACGCTGCCACTTCACTCATGCCATGCAGAGGCAGCATGTGTGAATCAGGCGTTAGAGAGAGGGCGGAGCCTTCAGTCTGACGGCCACAGCTGCCCAGCAAAACGCCAAAAATAACCGCTCTGTGGTTTAATTCCTGCTCTGTGTTTAAATGAAGAATAAATGCCGTTTGGTGAAGTTACTCACTGTGAGCCTGATGACCATGACTGACCTGTTATTTCAGCAGAGGATAATGAATTTGAGAATAGACAGTGTCAAATATTGGATGTGCGTGGGACACCGCGGGCGGGTGTGGGACAAAACGTTTCGGTTGCGGGCGGGAGCAGGACTGAAAAAACAGTTCCCCACGGACCTCTAATTCATAGGACCCATATGTAGATCTATACAATCATTATTATTATTATTATCATTTCTGTTTTTTTATTTACTTTCTTTCTCTTTTTTTAACATATTATTAAAATAAACAATATTGTTATAGTAAACAGATATAGACCACTGTGAGGGAGTGATGGATGGGGGCAGGAAACGGGGGGTTGTTTCTGTGTATTCTTGAAGTTATTGTACCTGAAAAAATGTTTATTTCCACCATTTTCCAAGTCGAAAAGACAACAAAGAGGCTGTTAAAAAGCTTTAAAATATATCCCACAGCGTCCGTCATTGAGGACTGAATGAATTTGTTCCTCCTCTCTGTTTCTCCCTGCAGGACCAGAGCGTGGAGGGAAAGGAGGGAAGCTATGAGGCAGCCTGTCAGAGATTGGCCAGTGAGGCAGTGAGGCGGGGCTGTGCAGACAACGTCACCGTTATTCTCATTTCTATTGAATTCTGACCAGCTTCACTACATTCACACACAAACACAGGAGCAGATCACTGAGATGGAGTGATGATCAATGAAACGCAGTCATATTGTTACTTTTTTATACGTTGAGAATTTCTAAAGATCTTTTTCAGAGTTTGCATGCGGACAGATTGTGGCTGCTAACAATGAAATAAAAAAAAAAAAACATTAAAACATACTGTGTGTGTGTTTGTCTGGGTTGGTATGAATTTGGCCCTCATTTGTTTACATTTGAGAAGAGGGCTTAACTGAAGCAAGTGTGGGATAGTGAGTTTGTGAAAATGCTTGTTGCGTAGATGTCAATACATCAAATTTAACGAATCATTAAAAGGTAAACGGTGCTGAATGTGCATGTAAAGCTCTAGGATCTATATATCTCTCATTTATTCTCATTATATATATTATACACAATTATTTGAGTGTATTCTGGATATTGTCAGTTAACAACACTGATCAATTGCGTGTTTCATTAAAAAGAGCATAATTAGTCTGGTTTAATTAGATTTTTTTCTGATGAATACTTTTACTTTTTCTCAAGTATTTTAGTGAGTACAGTTATATTTTTTCCCTTTATTTAGTGCTTAATAATAGTTCCTAAATCTCTTTTTTGGGGTTTAATTTCATTCGGAGCTCCTGGGCTGCTTTACTGTTGCTCACACCTCTCATTCTGAATTTCCAACAACTTTATTTTAGACCAAAAAAGAAAAGAAGAGTCTAACATACTTCAGCTGGTAAATGCTGGATTGACTGAGAAGGTCCACAGCAGTTCTGTGTCTTACTCAGCACTTTTTACACAATACTTTTATGCTCACTGAAGGCTTTTACTACTTTTACTTTTCAACCGCAGTCCGTGTTTTGAACTGCAAACCCAGTATGAGTTAGATCTGCTCTACTCGCCACTGTTTATAGACACTTTAGGTGCATTTTGGTGAGACTTTTATTTTGTAAAGCTCCACTAACGGTCCATTTAAACCACTCTTCACATCTCTATAAATCTAATAAATAAATTTGTCTCTATTTACGCTTTTATCTGTGTTTTATACCATTTATGAAGTTTGTTTATCGCGGTGGGTCTTTTTCCACCTTATATACTTCTTTGTTTTATTTTGTAGCCGGCAGGTTTTTCGGTAAGTCCCGCCTCCTGTATTGGGGGATTGGCTGGAATCACCTGCGCTGCGATTGGCTGGCAGGTGATACCAATAGGTAACCGATTGGCCAGCTGAGAAGCGGACGTCACCATAGCAACAGCGGAGCGCAGCGGTTAGAAACGTAAACAAGTTTATATGAATTCGGCTTTTATATTGAACTACACTGACATAGCGAGCGCTTTATGCCTGAATGTGCTTATAATAATTAAAAAACGCCAAAATATGTCATAAACAAACTCTCTGATAGGCGGGCTGCCGGCGAAGGCAAACCAACAGCCTATCACAGCGCAGGAGGTGGGACGCGTCCAGCCTATCACAGCGCAGGAGGGGCGGGGCTTGTGATGCGTTTCCCCCTATGATGCGTTTCCCGTTTCCCGTTATGCGAGTGGAGTCGGTAAGCGGAGGAGTAATTACTGCAGTAATAAATAACCAACAGTAAACAACAACAGCTGATTAACGGCCTCGGCGGAGCGCGGGACACGGCGAACACCGCCGGGGTGATGCGGCGCGTTCAGGTCTGAGCCAAACCCGGGTGTTCAGCCGCAGTATGGACGGGTTCCTGCGGTTTGAGGAGTGCGTGCGGGACTCGCCCTCGTTCAGGTACGCGGCAACCCGCACAGCCGGTAAACGGACACACGCCGGCGTTTATTTATCTGTTTATGCGTTTGTTCATTTGCGTTTCTTCTGACGTCACCGCAGGCAGTCGCTGGACCAGCACGAGAGTGACGTAGAAGAGCTGGAAGGTCGCATAGAAAAGGTGACGTTACTGCATTTGACTACAAACACTTACCTGCTTCCACACACTGGCCATTTTATTAGAAACACCCACCTTCTACTTCCACTAACTGGCCACTTTATTAGAAACACCCACCTTGTGCTTCTACTAACTGGCCACTTTATTAGAAACACTCACCTTGTGTTTCCGCTGACTGGCCATTTTATTAGAAACACTCGCCTTGTGCTTCTACTAACTGGCCACTTTATTAGAAACACCCACCTTGTGCTCACTGTCTGTCTGTCTGTCTGTCTGTGTGTCTGTGTGTCTCTCAGGTGGTGAAGCTGTGCAGTAGGATGGTGGAGGCGGGTCAGGCGTATGCAGAGTGTAATCAGCTCTTCCTGTCTGCGCTGGCCGAGTTCACACACTACCACAACAAACACACCGTCATATCGGTGAGTGAGGGTGATTTGAAGAACTTGAAGAACCTGTGAGCTCCATACACTCATTATTTCATGATTATATCGTTTTTAAGCAGTAGAACCCGAGAGGGAGTGTGTTTTCTCGAAATAACATCGCTGCTGTGATTTGGTCGCTGTAGATCATCACAGCCGCGATGTTGTTGGCGATAACACACTCCTCGAGTGTTCTATTGCTTTTATACAACAGTTAAATAAATAAAGTAATATATTAATAAACTGGGCCGTGAACGCGGCGTTTAATATGTTTTAATGTTCTCAGTTCCTTCACCAAATTATAGTTCCTTAACAAGCAGAGCTCCGCCCACTCGCTGCACAGCCGGCAGTTCGTTCTCCAGCTCCTTACACTAAATTCCCAAACTGTCATCACCACTGAGCAGCTTTTCAGTCGGCAGCTGTGACAGAAGAACAGCTAAACAACCTGGAAAAGTGCCACAATATCAAGTTTAGCTCAGTTTTGTCAGTTTTTGCCAGATCAATATTAATGTTGTTTTGTTCCAGCCAGTCTGTAAAGCATCTTACAGCCCATTTAGTTTGGCGAATGGTGTTGGGTTCATTTCTGGCTGATTCCAGGTTGTTTAGCTGTTCTTCTGTCACAGCTGCCGACTGAAAAGCTGCTCGGTGGTGATGACAGTTTGGAAATTTAGTGTCGTCTCATCTTCAGAGTCTGACCAAATCGGCTGTCGGTCAAATGTGCTCTTAAAAGTGTCCATTTTCTGTTTGTGGCAAAGTAAGAAGTAAAAACATTCAAATGGCTTGAGCGTCTCCTACACCTGTCAAAGTCGTTGCTTAGCAACGGCGTCTCAGCGGAGTGATACAGTGTTTGTGAAAAAAAGTGATGTTATGGTGAAGGCGCCCTGTCGTTTCCTATGGTCCACGATGTAGCTGCGATTAAGGGGCAACTTTATGCAAATGAACTATGATGCGGTGAAGTAACAAAGGCTACGTTCACATTACCAGGCTGAAGTGGCACAAATCTGATTTTTTTCCCTAATGTGACTCAGATCTGATGTTTTCAGGGCTGTGTGGACACAAATCTGATCTTTTCAAATCCGACCTGTGTCACTGTGTCATATGAGGTCCTAGATTGGATATGTATCTGATTCGTGGCCATGCGACCATGAGAATGTGACGCTCAGATCGGAATTCATGTGCTTTTTTCCCACTGCGCTGCCCCATCATTCAGCGTTACCATGGCAGCAGCGCCGAACAGACGTTAAAGCCTGTAAACGGTGGAAAAGCAGCTCATCTCACCTTTTTCTCCTTCGTCTCGCTCTAATAACGAAGCTGAGAGCTGATCAGAGTTAATGATCTTCTCAGCGAAGCTCGTTCTGCTCGTTAGTTTGTGCTGATGATGACGTTACTGAGTAGGATGAGCTCATGAGGGTCATTTCAGGACGCCGGTTCGTCACATTAATGACAGATTTGAGTCACTTACCTAAACGAGTGTGAACCATTGCGTCAGAAAGATCGGATCTGAGCAAGAAATCAGATTTGAGTAACGAGGCTTGTAATGTGAACGTAGCTAAACTTACTGATGGGCTCAAACAAAAGCCTCTGACCAGTCGTAGACACGGGAGTCCGAGGTCCCCAGCATCTCCTCTCTGAACTTTTTGTTCCCACCAGTGTTTCATTCCTATTCCCAACGGTATTGTTTGAAATATAGAGGAGAAACTTATAAATGTATAACCACGTTTCATATTTTATGCATATATATATATATATATATATCGCTGTTGTCAGAAGAAAACCTTCTATCTCCATTTTTGTCGTTTTTCAGTTTTTGACATAATTTGAAAATGCCTGTTTCCCTTTACATTGTTTGTGAATTTCATGATGAATGGACCAAAAGAAACAGCCCAAAATGACTTGGAAAGACGTCTGGTTCCATTGACTTACATTCTAAGTAAAGTAGGTTTTTTCCTTCTCCTGTAAAGTTACTATTTTGGAGATACGAAGTTTTCTTCCAGCAACAGGATATGTACAGTATATATTTTTACATTTTCGTGTCAGAGGAGCTCGACAGTGTACACGCCCACACGTGACAACCAGAGCTGCCTCGAACTCACCCACCCAAGACAGACTTGAGGCAATATTAGCGACCCGTCGCCTCCTAATATGCAACAGTATGTAACAGTGACTCTGTATGTTGTCTGTAGATCTGTGTTGTGATCAGTGTGGATTTCCAGAATGTAGTTCAGCTGAACATCCCGACGCAGACGCTGTATGAACGGCCATCGTGTGTGAGCTGTAGAGTCGCTGCCTCGTCACTCGAGTCCAGAACCCACTGACTCTGTCCCTTAATCTGTGTTTGTGTTCAGAATTGCCTGCGTCAGTTTAACCAGGGCCTGCAGGAGATGATCCAGTTCCACACAGTGAGTCACTCACTCTAATTACATTTGGGTTATAGATGATTTCATCACATTAAAGTCTCATATCTTTGACTTTTTTCGCTCTGTTCGATTCCAGAAATGTTCAAGAGTCATTTTTAATATTTTTACAGAGTGTGAAGTCCAGATTAACCAAAATGGCTGCTTCCTTTTGATGAAACCGAGGCTTTTTGTCTGTGTGGTTGTTGTGAACAGCTGTGAGCTGCAGGGTTCAGTTCACTGCTCAGGCAGGAATCAGAGAGTCTGTTATAAAACACCAATAACAGGCTAATAAGACGAGATTCATAAGTTCACATTCACCTGCCAGAGCAAACCGCTCCGGATGTGCTACATCAGTTAAATATTTATAGATAAAGTCTGTCCTAAATATTGTTTTACTTCACAGGTTAAACCATCTGCTAATGTATGTATGAAACAGTATATTAGATCTACAGCATATTTGTGTTTGAGAATGTTTTATATGTAATAATAATAATAATAATAACACTAATATCATGTATGCTTCTGTTCAGATGCTGCTGGATCAGAGTCAGAGGGCGATCACCCAGCAGCTCACTCACCTCCTGTCACAGTGCGTCATCACAAACACACTAAATCACCGCCTTTTAGACGAGTGTGTGATGCTGTCTGCACAGTGTAACGCGTGTGTGTGTGCGCGCGTGTTTCTCATGCAGGTTCCTGCCGCAGATGCGCGAGGCGCAGCGTGAGTTTGTGAGGATAGGGGGCGATGTGGAGTTGGCTGCAGTGAAAAACGCTCAGATCTCCCCGAACAAACCTGCAGAGGCAGAAAGAGCCAGTCACCTGCTGATCGCCACGCGCAAGTGTTTCCAGCACTTCGCCCTGGACTACTGCCTGCAGGTACACAACTACACGACGACACAACACACAACTACACAACACACAACGCACAACTACACACAACCACACGACTAGACACAACCACACAACCACACAACTACATGACTACACAACACACCTACACACAACTACACAACACACAACTACACAACACACAACACATAACTATACAACTACACAACCACACAACTGCATGACTACGCAACACACCTACACACAACTACACACAACTACACAACACACTACTACACAACTACACAACACACAACACAACTACACGATTACACAACACACAACACATGACTACACAACACATGACTACACAACACATGACCACACAACTACACACCACACAACTACACAACACACAACTACATGACTACACAAACACAACTACAGTACACACAACTACACAACAATACACTACAAAACACACAACTACACAACACACAACTACACAACACAATACTACATGACTACACAACACACCTACACAGCTACAAAACAATACAACTACACAACACACCTACACAGAACTATACAACAAACAACTAGACAACTTCACAGCTACACAACACACAACTACTCCCTAGTTCAGATTAACCCTAGCTCAAATTAGCCCTAGCCCAGGTTTGGCCCTAGCCCAGTTTAGCCCTCGCCCAGGTTTAGCCCTAGCCCAGGTTTAGCCCGAGCCCAGTTTAGCCCTAGCCCAGATTATCTGTATGTGGTGTGAATGATCTGAATGGTGTTTGTTGTCAGGGGGTTCTGGGTCTCTGCTGTTGTAAATGAAGGCCAGGTTATTTAAAGCGGTTCCAGAATATCCTGATATTCCGGTGTTCGGGCTGACGGTGTTGGCTGGGTGGTCTTCTGTCTCTGCCCTTTGAGACACATTATCAGTAAAAGCGTGAGGTGTTTGTGTGTGGTGGGGAACCCGTGCTGGGGGCGGCTGAACGCTGTAATCTCATTGGCTGTGTGTGTTTGCAGCGGTGAGGCAGTGAGAGTAAATCCCGGATGTGTTGGTCCTGGACTCGCCTCGGCGTGTGTTTACCTTTAACTCTGCACAGTGTTTACTCTGGATTACCTCTGAACTCCGCCTGGAACTCTGCCTGCTTTATTCTGGGTTTATCAGTGCAGGTTAGAACACAGTAAGGTTCCTGTGACTGTGGACACATTTAAATACCTTACAGGAATTCACTGCTCGGGGCTTCGTTTGGTCAGACGCACAAATTAGACAGTCAAACTGTGAAATCAAACCCCAGGATTAAACTTGCAGTGCAGGATTTGGCTTCTGCTGTCATTTCTGGCTCATGATTAAGGATTGAAAACATGTAGCTACATATGGGGCTGAGCAATATGACTTTATTTATCATTATCATGATAAATTGTGCCAGAATATGTCACTGAATGCTTTTCAGGGCATTTGATGGATGTCGTCAGTGTTTAAAAAACCTTCCCAACTGCATGTTTGAGAACAAAGACGCCATAATTAGTCCTGTTTATTGGATATGGGGCAGGACAGGCTGTGAAATGTGGAGTGTAAATAATTATGTTCATAATTTTTAAGCGTTGTTTTTTAAATGTTGCCTGTTCTAATGTATCACGTCAGAAAAAATAAATATTGTGTATCGGAAAACTGCTTAATGAATCGTGATATTACATGGTTATTATGTTTAGATTAAGTGACCCTTCTGAGTCCCACAACGGGGAAATTTCACCTCCTCATTTCACCCATCCGTGCAGTGAAACACCACATACACACTAGTGAACACACACACACTAGGGGGCTGTGAGCACACTTGCCCAGAGCGGTGGGCAGCCCTATCCACAGCGCCCAGGAAGCAGTTGGGGGTTAGGTGTCTTGCTCAAGAGCACTTCAGTCACATACTGTCGACTCAGGGGATCAAACCAGTGACCTTACGGTCACGGGGCTGGTTCCCAAACCTCCAGCCCACGACTATCTAAAATATTATATATTGTTGTCATACTGACCAGCTCTGGGTTCAAGGCTTTAATGTCCTTTATACAGGACGTTAATCTCTGAACCCAAATGACGTTACCACCAAGAAGGCCAAGACTAGCTCAGGGGCCGGATTCACGAAAACTTTCTTAAGAAAAAAACTTGCAAAGGATCTTACAACAAACACTAAGAAGTTCGGAAGAATGTTCTTAAATGTAATTCTTGATAGTTCTCTGATATTCTCTTAACATAATCTTAATTATTTTCTTAAGACTTTATTAAGGAAATCTTCAGTGTTTTATTATCTCGGCTATGTTGCATTTTACCATGGACCATAAACGATGCAAGATAGTTTGAATTTGTACGAACTGTTATTTCCGTTATTTAGATTAATCCACTCAGAGGAGCAAAATGAAGGAAAAACATCAAACTAAGTGTTTAAAAAATGTAGCAAACAAGATTTAGAGCTGATGAAAAAAAAAAACAGCCAATAGGAAAAAAGAGGCGGCGCCAAGATAAATTTAGGTCGTAGAGATAAGCTGTCGTAAAGATAAGAAAACATATAAGAACGTAATATTTCCAAGAATAACACTTATTCTTAGAATCTAAATAAATTTTCTTAAAATAGTTAAGAAAATAACAGAATTCTTAAAAAGTTGTTTGAAATGTAACAATTTCTCGTAATTTTTTTCTGAAGAATGAAGTCAAGAAAAACATTCTGTCGTTATCGTGATAAATTATATCACTTTTCTGAGCACATCGTATATATTTTTTATATATGTTTTTGGCAGTCGTGGGCTGGAGAATAGAATTTTATTTTTATAATAATAATAATATTTTTGTATATTTTTTACAAGCACCTTTTCAGATACTTAAGGACACCGTAAACAGAAGATAAAGATAACGACATTCAATAAAATAAATAATAAATAATGTGGTATAAATAACACCAATAATAGTACAAAGAGAATAAACTATTAGGTGCAGCCTAAATAAATTTACATCTGTGTCATCAGAAACTAAATATGAGAGAAAACAGAGTCATGAATTATCGTGATATCATATTTTCGCCATATCGCCCACCCCTCTTTTTCTTTACAGCACAGGTTTAAATACAGGACAGTAAAGACACTGAATGGTTGATTTTATCCTGAATTCTTTGGGGGGAAATGAACAGAACTGGGATGGACGCTGATCCTTTTTCCCTTGTCTTTCTTTTCCAGCTGAATAATTTCAAGGTTCAGCAGAAGCTGGACATCCTGAACTCAGTAAGTGTCCTGAGAAAAAGGGCTTGAATGTAAACCAGTAAAGACAGTGAGGTGTTGCTTCTGTCTTACGTGAGATTCTTCGTGTTTGTTGTGTAGGTGTTCTCTTACTTCCACGCGCAGTATACGTTTTTCCATCAGGGGTTCGACCTGCTGAGAGACCTCGAACCCACCATGAAGACGATGGCATCCGAGGTATGATTCTAACCCTAGTGTAACCATAATTATTAAACGGTTCTGGTCCTAAAATCCGATTGGCTGAGCCGCGTTCGAAGCCGTTGCGAAATCCACGATATACGCTCACTGACCGCCTCACAACAACTGGACTCTGTATCACTGCACCACGAAACACCCTTATGCTGTTAGTGGATAATCTTTGACTCTCATGCTGCTCGCATGGAGCACCGAGTGAACTGATGAAGTTTTTGTTTAAACTGAGCGGCTGCCAACTTATGTTCTTAACTAGAACTGGGCTGGTCATCTAGCTTACAGGCTACAACGAAATAATTAAGCAAGCAGGCTTGAATTAAAGTCCTTACGTTATGATTCACTGTAAAACGGCAGTATAAAAGTCTAAGAATGTCCCTTGAATGGATTACATGCTTTAAATGTTCGTCAAAACGTACTTATAAGGCGAAAGTCTTTGCATTAAACAGTGTTGTGTTATTATATCACTGTTGTCGGAGACAAAACCCTGTATCTCCAAAATGGTAACTTTACAGGAGAAGGAGAAAACATGCTTTACTTTTAATGTAAGTCAATGGAACCAGAAGTTTTGTCCAAGTAATTTTGGGCCATTTCTTTTAGTCTGTTTTTCATTCAATTTACCCACAATATAAAGGGCAACAGGCATTTTTAAATTATGTTAAAAACAAAAAATGACAAAAATGGAGATACGAGGTTTTCTTCCGACAGCAGCGATACGCTTATTGTTCTATGACAAAAAGTTGAAAAACATTCATAAAATGACTGTGTACAGCGGTGGGCGACCAAACGTTCTCCTCATTCAGCGTTCCATGGTTGCTTGGCAACGATACTGTACTCTTAAGGAACTACATTTCTTGGTAGAATACTTGTTTATGTTGATTATTATTCATAATAACTTAATAATAAAATTTTGTATTTTGTCGTATTTTATTTTGGCTGCTGTTTTATAAAAAAATACAGTGATTTAATCACAGAGAAGGGAGTTTTACTCCGCTTTGCGTTGTGCCTAATAACACCCTTCCCCGTGGTAAAATCACAGCAACGCACAGCCTCTCGTGGCTTATTGCTTTAATCAGCCTCACTGTGGACTCAGACGTACATAACAGGACCATTGTTGATCATTTCAGGTCACGTACAGCAAAACAAATCATTATCATCCAGCATAATAGTGGTAGTGTTCGTTCTGACGGTGGCCCTTCTCCATATTCGAGTCCCTGATATGAGTCCCTGACTGGTGCCTCAGTGTTGGTGACACCAGAATTAAAGCTGTAGTAGATGTTGCTCCACCGAGCTGCCTCTTTCTCAGTCGTGGTTGTATTTAGTGATTCGGTTTAAACATGAACTGAACTGAATGTTTTTTCTACAGCTGGCCCAGCTGTCCACTGAGTGTACGGCTAAGAGGAAAGATCTGGAAAACCAGCACCTGCTCGTCCAGCAGAGGGTGAGTAGCGGAGCAGTGCACAACTGCAGGCAGTCGAGATAAACACCGATCAGGCATAACATTCTGACCACCTCTTTGTTTCTATGCTCATTGTCCATTTTATCAGCTCCACTTACTATAAAGGTGCACTTTGTAGTTCTACAGTTACAGACTGTAGTCCATCTGTTTCTCTGCATACTTTGTTAGCCCCCTTTTACCCTGTTCTTCAGTGGTCAGGACCCCCATGGACCCTCACAGAGCAGGTACTATTTGGGTGGTGGGTCATTCTCAGCACTGCAGTAACACTGACGTGGTGGTGGTGTGTTAGTGTGTGTTGCGCTGGTACAAGTGGATCAGACACAGCAGTGCTGCTGGAGTTTTTAAACACTGTGTCCACTCACTGTCCACTCTATTAGACACTCCTACCTTGTCAGTCCACCTTGTAGATGTAAAGTCAGAGACGATAGCTCATCTGCTGCTGCACAGTTTGTGTTGGTCATCCTCTAGTCCTTCATCAGTGGTCACAGGACGCTGCCCACAGGACGCTGTTGGCTGGATATTTTTGGTTGGTGGTCTATTCTCAGTCCAGCAGTGACACTGAGGTGTGTAAAAACTCCAGCAGCACTGCTGTGTCTGATCCACTCAGACCAGCGCAACACACACTAACACACCACCACCACGTCAGTGTTACTGCAGTGCTGAGAATGATCCACCACCCAAATAGTACCTGCTCTGTGAGGGTCCATGGGGGTCCTGGATAATCGAACAAGACTTTGCGAGATGTAGCTGAAAACACAGGGTATAAATACTGAACAAAATGGCTTCTGATTAAACTCAGATGCATGATCTAAATCAGTATTCAGGCAATAGTGACCTCTGCTGGTGAGGAGGGGCGTTGTCAGCAGCAGATGTGACCGTGGTAATGTACTTATGAGTTATGCTAACGTAGCTGTGGGCTGGAATGTTACAGTGCACTGTTTGTGTTGACTGTTAGCCTGTAATAAGCCTGTGTTTGTCGTTTTTAAAGTATTTGGTCTTTGTTGTTTTGTTTATTTGTCTTGCAGTATTTGGAGCTTTGTTGTTTTACACTCTGGTGTTTGTTGTTTCTGTAGTGATTGGTGTTTGCTGATTTTGCAGGATGCCTGTGGCGAGTCTGTGGTGGTGTTGAGTCCGTCCAATGGAGGCGTCATTCAGGGCTACCTCTTCAAACGCTCTCGCAAGAAGAATAAGATGTGGAAGAGGTGAGAGAAAGAGAGATAGATTCCACTTTCTGGTTCTCTAATTGTCTCCACTAACCATTGTTTTCTTCTAATTCAGGTGCTGGTTTTCCACCAATAATAACCAGCTGCTGTACACAAAGACACACAAGGTAATCGCACACTGATTAGAGAGAGCTTATTAAATGTGTCTTAGATGTAGGAGATACAGCAGGTCTATAGAGTGGAGAATAAAGCAACTCTATGGAGTGGAGGATAAAGCAGGTCTATGGAGTGGAGGATAAAGCAGGTCTATGAAGTGGAGGATAAAGCTGGTCTATGAAGTGGAGGATAAAGCAGCTCTATGGAGTGGAGGAGAGAGCAGCTCTATGGAGTGGAGGATAAAGCAGGTCTATGGAGTGGAGGATAAAGCAGGTCTATGGAGTGGAGGATAAAGCAGGTCTATGAAGTGGAGGATAAAGCAGCTCTATGGAGTGGAGGAGAGAGCAGCTCTATGGAGTGGAGGATAAAGCAGGTCTATGGAGTGGAGGATAAAGCAGGTCTATGAAGTGGAGGATAAAGCAGGTCTATGGAGTGGAGGAGAGAGCAGCTCTATGGAGTGGAGGAGAGAGCAGCTCTATGGAGTGGAGGAGAGCAGCTCTATGGAGTGGAGGAGAGAGCAGCTCTATGGAGTGGAGAATGAAGCAGGTCTATAGAGTAGAAAATAAAGCGGGTCTATGGAGTGGAGGAGAGAACAAGTCTATGGAGAGGATAATAAAGCAGGTCTATGTAGTGGAGGATAAAGCAGGTGAGTGGATAAAGGATAGAGGAGGTCTATGGAGAGGATAATAAAGCAGGTCTATGTAGTGGAGGATACAGCAGGTCTATGATGTCTAGGATGAAGCAGGTCTGTGAAATGGAGGTCAAGGAACAGATGAAGGACACAGGAGGTCTATACAGAGGATAGCAAAGCAGATCCTATTGAAAGTTTTGTTCTGTAGATTAAATGTCATACAGTTCCGATCTAAGCTATGGTGGTGTTTAATGTATGTGTGTTTGTGTGCAGGAGCAGCCGGTGGTGCTGTTCGATGACTTGCGGCTGTGTGCAGTGAAGTCTCTGGATTCGATAGACCGGCGTTTTTGTTTCGAGCTCCTGAGTGTGCAGAAGTAAGTCAAGTGCACTCTGTGGGAACAAACTCCACATGAAAATGTCTCTATTTTCAAAGTTTTATCATCATTAGCCTACTTTTGCCTGATTGGCCAAACTCAGTGCGGCTGCCACATTCATTTGCATAAAGTAGAAAGCAGCTGATGTTGCAGGTGGACATATAGAATTCTGAATTAGTGTTAATGTTAGTCTTATTTGTCTGTGTGTGTGTGTGTGTGTGTGTGTGTGTGTGTGTGTAGGTGTTGTGTATTACAGGCGGACTCGGAGGAGTTAAAGATGGCCTGGATTGACGCTGTGCAGAGCTGCATTGACATCGCTTACCGAGAGAAAGTGTCTGAGAAAGAGTCTGAAAGCACTCAGGTACCGACAGCACACACACAGTGTTTTGGGTCAGTCTCACGAAACCATGTCCATAAATATTCAACTGTCAATCATCATGCAGATGTTCAAATAATACAGTTTTCATACAGTATAGTGGATTAATGGGACTCTGTAGGGTACAACAAAAACGTTTAATTATTCGTTATTCTATTTTTGCCATTTTTGATTCACTTCATCAAAATGTATTCACTGTTTTCCTTTTTAATATTTTTTTATAACAATGTATTATTTCACCACTTCATTATTTTTAATATTAAAGGCATCATATTAAAAATATTGTCAATGCAAAAAAAAAAAATACTATTAACAGAAATCTGTTTCAAATATATTCAGTCGTGGGCAAAAGTCTGAGATCACACTGTAAACCTGGAAATAAACAACAGACAGTATTAAAATTTTGGAAAGAAACTTTATGAGAAGTGAAATATTCGCTCTCCAAATAGTCTTTATACAAATGCATTGTTTTTAGTCTGATCTCTATAGTCTGACGACCCTCAGCTGGATCTGATCTGCTGATCAGAGACTTTTGCACAAACCTGCGGAGGCCCTGCAGCTGGAGAGCCGTCACTCAAATAGTTCTGCTGATCATATAGTTTGTAATGAGAAACTTTAATTAAACTTAAATTAAAGTAGGAACTCATTTGTACTAGAGCTCTCAGACCTGCGGACCCCTAATTGCATTATAATAATTAGTTTTCAAATTCTTGGTCCAAAAATAGTACAGAGAAAGTTTAAAACGAAAAGCTGGAAAAAAACATTATTTACACATTTTTCTTGCTGTAATGACAATTTGGTCTCATTACAAATCCAATTTAAAAGCATTAAATAATTCAGGTTTGTGTTAAATGATTAACCCTGGCTGCATTGTTTGTAAATCCAAAAAGAAAGTAAACATTGAGTTTCCGGGTCTCAGTATCAGTTGTGTTTATATTATAATAATTAATAATATTAACAGCCCTCTTGGTGTCCAGTGTCCAGTGTTTTGACTGTTCTGGTTCTGTCTGTCTGTGTTCAGGTGAAACCCTCACCCCCCGTCCCGGTTCCTGACCCCCCCTCCTTGCCGGCTGCTCTGGGCGTGGCTCTCCGTGGCCACGGTAACCGTCGCTGCTGCGACTGCGGGGAGGCGGAGCCTCGCTGGGCGAGTGTAAACCTCGGCATCACCGTCTGCATCGAGTGCTCCGGGATACACAGGTCATTAATAATCAATACATTTATCTGTTCTCCTTTAAGTCAGGGCTGAGTGACAGAGCCAAAAATATATCATATAATATATCATATAATATATTATAACAAATATTTTTCCATATCGTTCAGTGTCGTTAATTAATGCTTATTATTCTAAACATTTCTTAGTTTGAGTCTGAGTAGTATTTTCAACTCTAATGGTAACAAGAGGCTTGTTTTGGCGTAATATATATATATATATACATATATATATATATATATATATATATATACGTTTATATACTTATATACATGCATATACTTGTATACACTGTAGTTATATCTTTACATTACTTTTTTATATTTTATCTGTAAAGTTTGGTGAATTCTGGATAGTTATTATTTTTTTAAATGATTTTATCTGCCATATCAGAATCTTCTACAGCTGTAGTCAACATTCTGGACACATTATTAAATCTATATATAATTCATATGTAATCAATAGTTTTGTTTTGAACACTATTGTAGATGTTAAAGACTAACTCTGCTAACTGTCCCACTGGTTTGTGGTGTCGTGAGTGAACGGCTAGACTTCTTCTCCCTCTCTGTGTAGAGAGTAAAAGGCACACAGTGCCACCTAATGTACAAAAGTAGCACCTGTTGATAGTCCTTTCTGTTTATATTGGATTGATGAACAGAACATCATAAACATTGTATCAAATACACATCAAACGATGATGATTAGTATTAAAACGTTGTTGTAATGTGTTTTAGGAGTCTGGGTGTTCACCTGTCTAAGGTGCGTTCGCTCACTCTGGATTCCTGGGACCCAGAACAGCTGAAGGTAACCGAGCCGCCTCCTCAGACCTACTAATAGTGGCCTGTATTTATCACACAGTAAGGATACTGATCTGAGGTCAGCTTACAGCTTTTAAATGATACTGAATAGAATTACATGAACTGAATTACATGAAGAAATTACTGAGTTTTACTATCTGTAGAGTTTAATATGTTCTAATAATGATAATATCTCTGTTTATAAAAGAATTATGGAAATGTGTTCTGTTGTTGTGATTGAGGTCAGTAACAGAGTTTCTTTGATTTCTTTAACTAATCTCTTTAATTCTGCTCCCTGTAGCTGCTGTGCGTTCTGGGTAATGATGTCATTAACGGCATTTATGAATGTAGTCCATCTGACGGACTGGAAAAGCCCGATCCTCAGAGCGCTCGGTAAGGACGCAACAGTACAAACACAATAAACAAACTCCAGGAGGAATTACAGCTTAATCTAGACCTGGATTACCTGTCGCACACAGTGGATCACTTTATACCAGCAACTTATTCTGCATGCCCAACTTGCTCCAAGGCAACCAGTTTTCAAAAATTCTGCATAATTAAGTGGTTAAGATGTAAACGGACTCATTCAGAGTCGGTTTGGTGTGAAACGCTCCGTTCTAGATAAACTTACCGAGTCAGAACTGTTCACAGTGGTGGTGATAGGAACCAGACGTCCACCTCTAAAAGCTCCCTCACAGAAAGTTACTACATGAAATGGTTATGAATTCACTGCCTGATGACTGAGACACTGTTTTATGATAGTTTAGAGAACTTAAACTCCATTCATGGTGGAGGGATACATGCAGGGCGCTGTGAGGCAAAATAGTCCCCAAAGAAAACTTATTATTTCAGATTTTCCACTATTTTCATCATCAACATTCCATATAAACTCAGAAGACTCGTGTAGGTTCACTGGTGGTTCTGGATAGTAAATAAAATGTCTATATTTGTGTTGTAGTCATGGCGACCCCTGGTTCCTATCACCACCACTGTAAAGACATCTGAACCATTTCACACCAAACCACTCTGAGTCACTCTGTTTACATCTCACACACTGAATTATGGAGGAATTTTGGAAAATTGGTGGAATTCCCCTTACAGATTATAACAGGTTATAGATTATAAACAGTTCTTGCACCAATCAGGCCTTGTGGACGTCATGGAGCCCCACTGGTTACATTATGTGCAAATGACTGCATAACATAGAAAGAACAGATTAATACTAAAGTGTTGTATAGATGTTGCTAGGCGGTTGCTATGGTATCCAACGTGGTTGGTAAGGTGTTGCTAGGTGGTTGCTGTACTATTAAATCCACTGGTATCTTAAATCTTTTGATACCTTAAATCCATTGTTACCTTAAATCAGCTGCTACCTTAAATTCACTGCCACTTTAAATGTACTGCTACCCTAAATTAATTGCTGCCTTAAATTCACTGATCCCATAAATCCAGTGCCTCCTTAAATCCACTTAAACCTTTAATCCACCGCTACCTTAAATTACCTGCAACTTTAAATCTTTTGTTACCTTAAATCCTACTTTGCTAACTTAAATTGCTAAATTGCTAACTTAAATTCACTGCCACTTTAAATCTCCCGCTTCCTTAAATTAATTGCTACCTTAAATTCCCTGCTCCCATAAATCCAACGCCTCCTTAAATCCACTTAAACCTTTAATCCACTACCTTAAATTTCCTGCGACCTTAAATCTTTTGCTGCCTTAAATCCATTGCTAACTTAATAAAAATGCCACCTTAAATCCACTGATACCTTAAATCCATTGCTACTGTAAATCCAATGCAACCTTAAATCCACTGATACCTTAAATTAATTGTAACCTTAAAATCCAATGCCACTCGTATGTCACATGTAACTGTGAGATACGAATAGAATATGCAACTAGAATGGAAACTAGTATAGCTAATATATCAACTTCATTGTGTAAGTGGCAGTGGTGAAAGTGTAGATTTTGCTGTTATAGTTGCTTTTTCATATTTACCTAGTATGATTTCTTGTTCATTCACTGAATAAACTGCTCAACTTTAACATGATTGGTCATTCATTGTAACTGTCAAACTATTTAAACCTAAACAGAGAATGGATCTACTGTTAAATGAAGCTGAAGGATCCCAGACAAATGTGCTTTGTGAGACTCCACTCTCACACCTCTGTCTCGCTTTCTCTCTCTCTCTGTCAGTCAGGTGAAGGAGGTGTGGATTAGGAGGAAGTATGTGGAGCGGAGTTTTGTGAAGAAGGACTGTGAATCTGCTGATGCTGGTGAGCTCATTTTTATCATTGCTATTTTTGTAGATTGACAATGATATTGTTACTATTACTACATTTCAGAAATGCATATGGAAACATTGTGTGTTTGTGTGTCCATCCACTCTGTTTCCATAGAGACCGTGAAGCTGCGGGCGGGACAGAAGCTGTACCAGGCGGCGCTGGACGGGGAACTGGTCTCCATGGCAACGGCGCTGGCCCAGGGAGCGGACGTAAACTGGAGCAACCCAGATAAGGCAGGGCGGACTGCCCTGATTGGTGCAGCTATTGGGGTAAGCTCCACCCCTTTTTCATCACTTTTGTCCTGAGAGTGTGTGTGATTATAGTTGGTCACTGTGTGTGTGTGTGTGTGTGTTTGTGTGTGTGCAGGGTTCTTTACTGGCGTGCGAGTTTTTGCTGCAGAACGGAGCCAATGTGAACTACAGAGACCAGCACGGACAAGCTGCACTACACGCTGCGGCCACACGGGGGCACACCGGGTAACACAACATGCACATTATACTGTATGTGGCCACTTTTAGATCCACCTACTTTGTTTCTACACTGTTTGTCCAGTTTATCAGGTCCACTTACCATACTTTCTCCTAATAATATTTGCTCTGTGGTGGTCCTGTGAGGGTCCTGACCATTAATGAACTGGGTAAAGGGGGGGCTAACAAATTACACAACTGTAGAGCTACAAAGTGACCCTATATGGAGCTGATAAAATGGACAATGAGTAAAGATAAAATGGAGGTGTACCTAAAGTGGCCAGTGAGTTTTAGACATATGTTTTGTCATATATAATATACAGTATGTTTATTATTTAAACTATACTGTATGTTTATATTGCATTGAATGTTTATTATATATATTGTTATGTAAATATATTATATAAACTGTCTGTGCTATAAACTGTCAGAATGAGCTTTTAGGGCTCCTGTGAGAAATGGATTGTGACATGCTGTGCTGTGATTGGTCAGGCAGGTGTGTCTGCTGTTAAAGAGAGGAGCCAATCAGTACGCAGCGGATGAAAAGGGAAATGATCCGCTCAGTATCGCCATAGAAACAGCTCACGCTGACATTGTCACCCTGTGAGTTAGCAGTGTGTGTGGGTGTGGGTGTGTGTGTTAGAGTGTGTGTTACTGGTGTCTGTTGATTTTGAATAACTGTGTGTGTGTGTGTGTTTGTGTGTGTGTGTGTGTGTGTGTCTGTGTTTTACTGGTGTCTATTGATTTTGAATAACTCTGTGTGTGTGTGTGTGTGTGTGTGTGTGTCTGTGTGTCTGTGTGTGTGTGTGTGTGTGTGTGTGTGTGTGTGTGTGTGTGTGTCTGTGTGTTACTGGTGTCTATTGATTTTGAATAACTCTCTGTGTGTGTGTGTGTCTGTGTGTATGTGTGTGTGTGTGTGTGTGTGTATGTGTGTGTGTGTGTGTGTATTGCAGGTTGAGAATGGCGCGGATGAATGAGGAAATGAGGGACTCTGAGGGGTTCTTTGGATCTGTAGGTAAGATGTTCCCATAATGCACCATGGCAGGGCTGTACCTTCAGGTACATCATCCACAGAATGAGTTTCAGTGAAGTCCAACGAGATAAACTGTCCTGGAAAAACACAATATAAAACCCACAATCCAGTATGTGTTATAACTGTAGGAATCTGCTTTGGGTTTGAACTGTAGGGATCTGTTATGGGTTATGACTGTGTGCATTATGGCAGTGGTCACCAACCCTGGTCCTGGAGATCTTCCTTTCTGTGAAATCTAGTTCCACAGTCTGCCACACGGAAGAGTGTTTGTGCCCATTGCATTATTGGTTATAACTAGACGGATCTGTTATGGGTTATGACTGTAGGGATCTGTTATGGGTTATAACTGTAGGGATCCATTATGGTTTATGACTCTAGGGATCCATTATGGCCTATGACTTTACGGGATCCATTATCTGTTATTACTGTAATGATCCATTATGGGCTGTGACCATAAGGATCCATTAAGGGTTATGACTGTAGGGATCCATTATGGGTTATGACTCTACAGTATCCATTATGCATTATAACTCTAGGGATCCACTATGGGTTATAACAATCTGTTATGGGTTAGAACTATATAGATCCATTATGCATTATTACTGTACCAATCCGTTAAGGGTTATGACTGTAGGGATCCATCATGAGTTATAACAACAGGAATCTGTTTGGGTTATGTCAATAGGGATCCATCATGGATTATGACTATATCTATCCATTATGGATTATTACAGTAGGAATCTGTGGGTCATCATGGGTTATGACTATAGGGATCTGTTATGATTTATGATTATAGGAATCTGTTATGGATTATGACTATAGGAATCAAATATGGGTTACTACTACAGGGATCCATTATGAGTTATGACTATAGGGATCTGTTATGGGTTATCGTTATAGGGATCCGCTGTGAGCATTGCAGCTCTGTTCCCCTCCAGTTCTGTAGCTTTGATCTCTGTTTCTCTCTCTCTTCCTTTCTCAGGTGATGATGAAACATTCCAGGACATTTTCCGTGATTTCAGCGACATGGCGTCCCATGATCCCGAGCGCCTCTCCCGCAGGCAGTTCAGCCGCAGCACAGAGGACGGGGGGGTGGACGAAACCGCCGCGGGGGCGGAGAGGACAGCGGGAGGAATGGAGGGATGAAAAGACGGAGGAGCTGAGCTGAGGGGGCTGTTCAGGCTGTCCTGTCCAGAGTGGATTTAGCTGGCCCCCCGTTTGAGTCCTTTCAGTGTTCCGCTCGTAGCGAGTTTCCCGACGCTGTCGCCCTCGGCTTGTTTATTCAGGGCTGGAATTCTGTAAAGCTGCTCTGTGACGACGGCTGCTGTAAAAAGCAATACATACATACATTTCAACTGAATTGACCTGAATCGGTCTGAGGGCAGCTTAGAGTTGGGGTTGGGTTTGGGTTTAGGGTTGGAGCGGAGATTTGAGTTAAAGCTCTTTGGATAATGAGTTAGGTCAGTTCAGGAAAGATTGTGGGTGGGCAGTTCAGCGGCCTGACTGGAGCTACTGTGTCATTCCACATTGACTCACCAAGGACCTGGCAGGTCCCGTCATGGATTTCAATGAAAAAAACAAAGAAAAACGTTTCAATTTTTGAAAAACTGTTTTTTAATTATGTATTAATTTTTTTTAGCAATATATTAAGATATATACCATATGTAAACCAGTCCATTTACAGTGAAATATTTTTATTAGTATTGTATTTATATCCAGTTTATATTTCAACCCAGTTCGTTCTCAATATTGAGTATATCAAACTTGAGAACTCGATGGGGGCAAATAATTCACAACAAAAAAACTATTCGGAGCACAACTTTGATGTGCTTGGTTGCGGCAATGAAATAAATAGTATATAATATAATAATAAATAATAATATAGTATAATGAGTTTTTTTTTTACTCGCATTTCTTCACTGAAGTCAATGGCGTGACCTGCCAGGCCCTGTATGAGTTAACGTGCAATGAAACTCTGACTGAAGAGGCTGTTTGTATAAAGCTAACGGGGCACAACCTAACACTGGGTTAAAGATAACACTGATATTTTATGTAGTCAAACAGCTTCCATTAGAATGTGCTTCTGGTCATCTTCTCGTGTTCCCATAGCAACGTCATCATCAGATTTTCATAGTAATCAAACTTATATTGCTCCAGATTCACCCTGAGGACTGTTTCTTACCATAAACGTAACTTTTTCCATCACGAGTGTTTGTGATCAGTGAGCTGTGCACAAGTCACACCTATATTATTTTAATCTCCTCTCGGTATTTGTCATATAGCAGCGTTTAGAAGCAGATAAGCAGCTCACAGTGAGAGCCAGACAGGCTAAAGTACAGCCTCCACACGGGGGGGTTAGTTTAACACACTGTTACAGCTCAGACCACCAAAGCAAATAATCAGAGAAGTCTAGTTACCCCCCATATACATTTACAACAGCTGAAAGTTTGTATGCACAAATTCATCACAAAAGTACTATAGAAGTCCTGTAAATTAAAATATTATTATTATGCTGTTTTCTGCTCTACTTTGCATCAAAAATACATTTGCCGCAGTTTAGAGCTCCTTTTCAGCAGTCATATTTGTTTTGATGCAGATATGTTCATGTATTAAGGTTGGAAAGCTCGTCTTGTTCAAACAAAATACAATAATATTTAATTAATTGAGTTTTTCATAATTTTACCAGACATTTCATTGGCTGTTATAGCTCGGCCCTCAGTGTATTACAGTTATAACCTAAGAGTAGCTCAGCCGGTTTGCATTGGAGTCCCTGTAGTTACTAAATAATAAGCCTTAGTATGTAATAAGCCTGAGATTTTAAGGGGTTAACTTTTAGTTTTAAAGAAAATCAACAAAACATGTCATTTTACTGTCAGTCTATTACAGTTAGCCGTGCCTGTGGGGTAAGTTGGCACATTTGCACTCGCTCTGTTCCTTGCAGTTGAATTGTTTGTAAACAGCAGGTGCTGGAAACGTTTAAAATGATTTAGCCGAAACCAAAATAGGTTGTGCCCCGCTCTGCCCTGTTAAATGCTTTCATTGAACGGCGACGTCTATGAGGTGAACCTGAAAAACGAACTATTTTTTAGGTTTGTCAGTCAACCAGTAGTTGTATTAACACATTCAGTGCAGTAATAAACCTGCAATTTAAAAACAAAGGGATTTCTGTAAGAAGGGACGTGTATGCAGGCCTTAATGCTGGCTAATTAATCTGTATTTAGCTAAAAAAGACAGTTTGTTTAACCCATTCCTTTAGTCACAGTGGAAGTTTATTTCTGTATAAACGTTTAGAATGTCCATAAATGTGATATAGTAAATATGTATGTATTCTTTTTTTTACTTTATGGTCACTTTTTGAACCCTAAAATTGTGGCTACGGTTGATGCTACTGGGCTCGGTTTTTTGGGCCGTCGACGCTTTGATTATACAGCCGTGTGCAAAAGTTTGTGTACCCTTGGTCAAAAGTTTTGTTGATTTTCTGAGTGTGCAGAAGTTACCGCATCCTCTACAAAGACACACTTCTACATATTTTAGTACGTACTTGATGTTTATTTACTGAATTTAATGCCAGGGGCCACCAGCTGGCCCAAAGTTTTATTATACACCTCTATAACCTAAGAATAGCTCAGACGGTTTGCATTGAAGTCCCTGTAATTACTAACTAATAAGCCTTATTGTGTAATAAGGGATTTTAAGGCTTATTTTTTTGCTTAGAAAATTGACAAAACATGGAATTTGACTGTCAAAGTTTTGCACACTGTGACTGCTTATACTGTGGGGACTGAGCTACATGTGACTTATGGTTAAGTAAGTGAACAGAGGAACTGTCCTTTGACACTGGCCGAGTTTCTGAAGGAACTGTTGATGAGGGGTAGACGCTGAGAGTCTGTGAACGTTTGGATGCACATTCCAGGCCCTCCTGTTGGAGTGGCAGATCCCTGACCTTTGCCCTTTCATTTAAAGTCACTGTGCCTCCTGTCTTTTCAGAAACTGCTCTTACCAGGGAAGTTCTAGTGGGGAGAAGTGCACTGGACACTAGAGGGCGCTCACAAGAGTCCAGAATGAATGGGTTCCTGTGGAGCTTCAGGGCAAAAAGGCAGTTTGTAAATGGTTAAAGCTTTTTTAACAGACAAATTCATTGATTCTCTCAACACAGTGCAGCATAACATATTTCAACACTGCTGTTATGTATTTTAGCGCTTTCGCATTCCAGTTTCAGGACTTTCTAACTGTGTCTTATGTATGTTAATGACGTTAGTGAGCATGAACCACTTTCCTCAGCCAATGAGCTGATCAGCTCACCAACCAATCAGCACTCAGTAGCAGTAATGCTGAAGGGTATTTACTAAAGGATAGTATTCCCAAGGCTACACAACACCTACATAAGCCTTTCATGATGACTGACTTAAACCTTTATAGACATTCATAAAGTGTGAATCGTGAGCGCCAATCTCTTTACTCAGCTTGCCAACCAATCAGCACTAAGCAGCAGTAATGCTAACCAATCAGCACACGGTAGTAGTAAAACTTGCATCCTACTGCCTAAAACCTGTTTGCTGTAGAAAAGTGTAAATATGCTGATACGGCTTTCACGGCTACGCAACACTACATAGGCTTTTCATGACAAATGACATAAACCTACATTAATTTAGTTATGTTATAACTGAAGTTTGGGGGGAGGTACATGTCTGAAACCCCTCCTCCTTCCAATCTAACACCCTGTCAATTCACATCCTCACCTTTTGTTCCCGTGACAAAGTGTTCACAACCCCACTGCCACCCCATCTCCTCCCTGTTCCTCAGTCCTGCATCAGTCCTAATACAGCTATGAGGGGGTCCGGCCTTCTAGCGACAGGCAGAATCTGCCCAGAACTCCAGGCCAAGTTCTCAGAGTTCTCCCCCTCCCTCAATCAGTCACCCTTCATACTACCACCGCCATGTTGAAGGCATAATCCAAACCTGTAAATCTTTCCTAAAGGCTTATTTGTTTCATAAAGGCTGCTTTTGTCCATTTTGTGTTTACATATGAGTTTATAAAGGTTTATTTCAGTTATGTAGGAGTCGTGTAGCCTTACGAATGTTTTTACTTTTCCAAAAGTAAAGGAAGGTCCTTTATGAATGGCTAGAAAACATATTTATCCCTTTAGCTCCTTTCACTTCTGGTCATGCAGGACTCTCTCTGGCGCCCTCTAGTGTGTAGCACTCAAGCATGTGATATAAAGCCTCCCCCTAAACTGGCTCTGGTTCTTACTTTGCTCTAACTGTGGTTACTGATGTCACACTGAATGATGTTACATTAAACCGCACTGAAGTACAATGTCCTGCTTTTAGACGTAACTTATCCTGCTGGTCTACTCTGAGACTGACCACTAATGGACCAGGACTCACCCGGGTTTAAACGTTTGCAATAATGTCGACTGAAATCATGTAGTGATGTCTTAAAAATCTATAAAGTCTTTTAATATTAATACAATAAAATATATTTAATGCATCTGTGGTGTGAACATGTGGTTCGTGGCTTGGATGTGTGGAAAAACTGATATATATTCACTGGTCATTTAGATCCACCTCCTTGTTTCTACATTCACTTCAGTGGTCAGGACCCCCATGGACCCCCACAGAGCAGGTACTATTTGGGTGGTGGATCATTCTCAGCACTGCAGTAACACTGACGTGGTGGTGGTGTGTTAGTGTGTGTTGCGCTGGTCTGAGTGGATCAGACACAGCAGTGCTGCTGGAGTTTTAAACACTGTGTCCACTCACTGTCCACTCTATTAGACACTCCTACCTTGTCAGTCCACCTTGTGGATGTGAAGTCAGAGACGATAGCTCATCTGCTGCTGCACAGTGTGTGTTGGTCATCCTCTGGTCCTTCATCAGTGGTCACAGAACGCTGCCCACAGGACGCTGTTGGCTGGATATTTTTTGGTTGGTGGTCTATTCTCAGTCCAGCAGTGACACTGAGGTGTTTAAAAACTCCAGCAGCACTGCTGTGTCTGATCCACTCAGACCAGCGCAACACACACTAACACACCACCACCACGTCAGTGTTACTGCAGTGCTGAGAATGATCCACCACCCAAATAGTACCTGCTCTGTGGGGGTCCATGGGGGTCCTGACCACTGAATCAGTGTATGCTTGTGTTGCTGGTGATTAGCTATGCTCATCTGTACTGTTTTTTTAGCAGAAGAATAGTGTGCAGTAAAAGAGAAAGTACTCTAAAGCAAGAGATGCTAGACCAGTCACCACAAGGTTGTGGCAAAGAGTTCGAAGTTTAGAAGCAGCAGCACTGAAAGTCCTCGTACATGGGGCTGCGAGAAGTCCAGTGCCAGGCAGGACATGATGGAGAAGTCAGAGGAAGTGCTGCTGTGAGTAGGCTGACTAGCTAGCGCTAGCTAGAACCAAAAAGAATGAAAAGGTTTTCTGTTTTCAATGTTACTTTGACAAACTAACATCAAATCATCCACTGAGGTGAAAAACACTGGTGTGAAAGCCCACAAATCATCACCAGCTACTCCTGCACTGGTTAGCTTTAGTGTTAGCATCAGCTCATTAGCGCATTCAACGCAGCCTCCGTTACTCAAGCGGAGCGACCAAAAGATTTTCTTTGGCTGTTTTTGAGTAATCAAACGTTTTCAAATTTATATGAGCTGATAAATTTTCCTTAGTATCAGGAACACCAACCAATCAGCTCTTAGTAGCAGTAATGCCAACCAATCAGCACTCGGTAGCAGTAATGCTAACCAATCAGCACTCAGTATCAGTAACGCTAACCAATCAGCCCTCAGTATCAGTAACACCAACCAATCAGCTCTTAATAGCAGTAATGCTAACCGATCAGCGCTCAGTAGCAGTAATGCTAACCGATCAGCGCTCGGTAGCAGTAATGCTAACCAATCAGCGCTCGGTAGCAGTAACGCTAACCAATCAACGCTCGGTAGCAGAAATGCTAACCAATCAGCGCTCAGTAGCAGTAACACCAACCAATCAGCTCTCAGTAGCAGTAATGCTAACCAATCAGCTCTCGGTAGCAGCCTGTATTTTCTTGAATGTGATTAAGTGAATATCTGCTCTTACAGACGTCAAAATTAGTCAGAAAGCACATCCCTAAACCAAACCCTGTCAAACGTGGCTGTAGTGTTGAAGAACACGCAGAGCAGAGCGTGAATCTCAAATTTCTCTAGAACACAGTATTTCACATAAAACCACTCTGAATGACTTTGTTTACATCTTAGCCATTTATTTATGCAGACAATTGGTGGACGTTTCTCTTAACACATTAAAAAAGTTGAGTTTTATCTCAATAATTAAATATGATCAGGAATCACTGCAGGGTTTTTGGACTGTTGGTGGCTGTTGTGTTCTGTCTGACGATCTCTTCCTGCTTCTTCATCTCGTCGTGTATCCACTGCAGGAAGTTGCTGAATCGCGTATAAACGCCGTATTTTCCTTCTGCGGCGCACTTCTCGCCCCAGCTGACGATCCCTGTGAGGAACCAGGTGCCCCTGTAGTTCACCACGAACGGCCCCCCGCTGTCCCCGGTGCACGCGTCCATCTCCGCCTGGAGGAACCCGGCGCAGAACATGTTGTCGGTGACGACCTGCTCGGTGGACCTCATACACTCCTCCTGGCCAATCACCGGCAGCACCACCTTCCGCAGGAAGCGCGAGGAGCGGCCCAGGTAACTCGTGGCGCCCCAGCCGGTCACCAGGCCGCGCTGATTCTCCATCATCAGCACCTGGGCCAGGTGAGCATTGGGCAGGCAGGCAGGTGAGACCACGGTGCTGAACTCCGCAGGCTGGGACAGGTACAGCAGTGCTATGTCACTGTCGAATGTGAACTCGTGGAAATGAGGATGGACCACGACTTTCTCCACTCTAATCTGCTGCTCACCTTCATCTGGACGCAACTTGTCATAATCACCTACAAATATGCACAAGGATTAGTGAATAACCTTATAATATTTTGCATACACAGAATAAATAATACAGTAAGTCTTGCTATAATCCAGAGAATGTGTAGAGAGGAGAATTACCACTACATAATGTCTTTCAGGTTCGTCAGACACTAGGGGGCGCTCCTGAGTGAGAGCAGTAATGCCAACCAATCAGCACTCACTAGCAGTAATGCTGACCAACCAGCACTCGGTAGAAGTAATGCTAACCAGTCAGCATTCAGTAGCAGTAATACCAACCAATCAGCTCTCAGTAGCAGCAATGCTAACCAGTCAGCGCTCAGTATCAGTAACACCAATCAATCAGTGCTCACTAGCAGTAATGCTAACCAATCAGCTCTCAGTAGCAGTAATGCTAACCAATCAGCACTCAGTAGCAGTGATGCTAACCAATTAGCTCTCAGTAGCAGTAATGTTAACCAATCAGCACTCAGTAGCAGTGATGCTAACCAATCAGCACTCAGTAGTAGTAGTAATGTTAACCAATCAGTGCTCAGTATCAGTAATGCTAACCAATCAGTGCTCAGTAGCAGTAAAGCCAACCAATCAGCTCTCAGTAGCAGTAATGCTAACCAATCAGCTCTTGGTAGCAGTAATGCTAACCAATCAGCACTCAGTAGAAGTAATGCTAACCAATCAGCACTCAGTAGCAGTAATGCTAACCAATCGGCTCTCAGTAGCAGTAACGCTAACCAATCGGCTCTCAGTAGCAGTAACACTAACCAATCAGCTCTCAGTAGCAGTAATGCTAACCAATCAGCACTCATTAGCAGTAACGCTAACCAATCAGCTCTCAGTAGCAGTAATGTTAACCAATCAGCACTCAGTAGCAGTAATGCTAACCAATCAGCACTCAGTAGCAGTAATGTTAACCAATCAGCTCTCAGTAGCAGTAATGTTAACCAATCAGCACTCAGTAGCAGTAATGTTAACCAATCAGCTCTCAGTAGCAGTAATGCTAACCAGTCAGCGCTCAGTATCAGTAACACCAATCAATCAGTGCTCAGTATCAGTAATGCTAACCAATCAGTGCTCAGTAGCAGTAAAGCCAACCAATCAGCTCTCAGTATCAGTAATGCTAACCAGTCAGTGCTCAGTAGCAGTAAAGCCAACCAATCAGCTCTCAGTAGCAATAATGCTAACCAATCAGCTCTTGGTAGCAGTAATGCTAACCAATCAGCACTCAGTAGAAGTAATGCTAACCAATCAGCACTCAGTAGCAGTAATGCTAACCAATCAGCACTCAGTAGCAGTAACGCTAACCAATCGGCTCTCAGTAGCAGTAACGCTAACCAATCGGCTCTCAGTAGCAGTAATGCTAACCAATCAGCACTCATTAGCAGTAACGCTAACCAATCAGCTCTCAGTATCAGTAATGTTAACCAATCAGCACTCATTAGCAGTAATGTTAACCAATCAGCACTCAGTAGCAGTAATGCTAACCAATCAGCACTCAGTAGCAGTAATGTTAACCAATCAGCTCTCAGTAGCAGTAATGTTAACCAATCAGCTCTCAGTAGCAGTAATGCTAACCAGTCAGCGCTCAGTATCAGTAACACCAATCAATCAGTGCTCAGTATCAGTAATGCTAACCAATCAGTGCTCAGTAGCAGTAAAGCCAACCGATCAGCTCTCAGTATCAGTAATGCTAACCAGTCAGTGCTCAGTAGCAGTAAAGCCAACCAATCAGCTCTCAGTAGCAATAATGCTAACCAATCAGCTCTTGGTAGCAGTAATGCTAACCAATCAGCACTCAGTAGAAGTAATGCTAACCAATCAGCACTCAGTAGCAGTAATGCTAACCAATCAGCACTCAGTAGCAGTAACGCTAACCAATCAGCACTCAGTAGCAGTAACGCTAACCAATCAGCACTCAGTAGTAGTAACGCTAACCAATCAGCTCTCAGTAGCAGTAATGTTAACCAATCAGCTCTCAGTGGCAGTAATGTTAACCAATCAGCACTTCAGTAGTTGTTAAGAAAATTGGAAACATTTGTAAACGTCTCTTCTGTTTATTCATTTATTCATATGTTGTCTGAGTTATAAAGGGAACTACTTGCTGACCGATGGTCACATGGTCAGGTGTTTCCTGCAGACAGTGAGCGGCTGTGATGACCCAGCGTGGGCTGATCAGAGTTCCTCCACAGAACCCATTTTCATCCTTCTTGCGTAGCAGAACCTACAGAACACACAGACTGACACATGGAGTGTTACTGCAGGAACGATCCAGTTACACAGGTTCACTTCTCATCAGCACTGTAGCGTTGTTTGGGCAGATCACTGGGACTCCGCCCACCTGCCATGGACCGTCATACCTATCATTCCTATCGTTTTCAGACTCCTCCCACCTGTTATGGTTCATAATACCTATCATTTTATTAGATGTCTGCCACTGTGCCCATCTGCTATGGACTTGCTATTATATCAGTTACTTTATTAAATGCATGAGAAACTCCGCCCACTTACCACAAACTGTTATACCCATCACTTTGAAAAATAATCGAGACTCCGCCCACCTTTTATACCTATCGTATTAACTCCACCCACCTGATATTGACTATTATACCTATCATTGTATTAAATGTTCTATTAGTTGACTGAGACTCCACCCACCTATTATGGTCCATTATGCCTATGAATTTATTAGATATCTGAAACTCCGCCCACCTGCTAAGGGCAATTATCCCTGTTTTTTATGGGTTTTTTTTTAGATGACTGAGACTCCTCCCACCTGCAATTGTCTACTATACTTATTATGTTATTAAATGAACAGGAAACTCCGCCCACTTGCTATGGACTGTCATACTTGTCGTTCTGTTAGAGGACTGAGACTCCACCCACTGCTATGGACTAGCTATTATACCAGTTAATTAAATGTGTGAGAGGCCGCGCCCACCTGCCATGGACTATTACACCTATCGTTTTATAGTTGACTGAGACTCCTCCCACCTATTATGATCTATTATACCCTATCTATCAGTTTGTTAGATATCTGAGACTCCGCCCATCTGCTATGGGCAGTTATCCCTGTTGTTTATTAGATAACTGAGACTCCGCCCACCTATCATTGTCTATTATACCTATCATGTTATTAAATGAATGAGAGACTCCACCCACCTGCTATGGACTGTTATACCTATCGTTCTATTCGATGACTAAGACTCCGCCCACCTGCTATGGACTGTTATACCTATTGTTCTATTAGATGACTAAGACTCCGCCCACTGCTATGGACTAGCTACTATACCTGTTATTTTATTAAATGACTCCGCCCACCTACTATTATACCTATTATACCTATGGTGGACTCCGCCCACCTATAATGGGCTTTTATACCTATCGTTCAATTAGATGACTCCTCCCACCTGATATGGACTTTTATACCTATAATTTTATTGGATGTTCTATAAGTTGACTGAGACTCCGCCCACCTGATATGGAATATTATATCAACTGTTTTAATAGATGACTGAGACTCCACCCATCTACTACAGATTTCTGTATGTACAATTTTATCATTATTATTATTATTATTTATAGCCATCGTTCTATTAGTTGACTGAGACTCCGCCCACCTGCCAGGGACTCCCACCCTGTGGCTGCAGCTGACCTCCTACAATCCGTGTCCCCGAGTCATCCGAGTCATTGAGTCCAGAGTAAGAAACATTCTCCAGGTGGGTGTGGTTTGAGGGTGGGGGGGTGTGGTCAACATCGTCCAGTAAGGAGCGGAGCATTGAGCCGTGACGCCACTGCTTTCCACAGGGATACTTTGCTAAAAGGCGTAAACACAAACAGCACAGTGAAAGCATTACTGTATATGTGGGAATGTTCTGATTTTCCTTTTCAGTGACGGATTATTGGAGTTTTATGCTGTATGTGTTTTATGTATGTTATTGTTTTGAATCCTTGTTTATTACAAAGTTTACTTGTTTATTATACCTGTCTCTTGGCAGCTCTTTCCATCGGGCTCCAGTTTGTATCCTTCGGCACAGCTGCAGGTGACGCTCGTGCGAGTGGGGGCGGAGTTACTGCAGTAGTGTAAACACCCTCCGTTCTTGTACTCGCACTCAAACACCTCTGCAATAAATAAACCATTTTTTAAATAATGTTTGATATTTTTATGAGCAGGGAGCATTGTTTCTTTGTCACAATGCTATTTTCTGGTACAGTAAAGGAAGGTGATGTCATACTCATGATGAGGAGGGTTGTCACATGTGCTAATGGACTCAGTTTAGGCAGCGGCAGATTTACGGCCCATTTACACCTGGTCACTTCATGCATCTTGAGTGTTAGGATTATATCTGGATGAGGCCAAGAAGCATTTAAAGCAGACACAGATCTGATCACTCAAACCGCTTGAGGAGGTGGACTGAGACGCATTTGAGCCACAATGTTTACACAGCGTAAACACATCTGTCTCTCCAAGATACATTCAACAACCAAAACCCCTCCCAGTACAACTGAAACTCTTCCCACTACAATGGAACCCCTCCCAGTACAACCAAAACCCCTCCCAGTACAACTGAAACTCTTCCCAGTACAACGGAACCCCTCCCAACACAACCAAAACCCCTCCCAGTACAACTGAAACTCTTCTCAGTACAACTGAAACTCTTCTGAGTACAACTGAAACTCTTCCCAGTACAACGGAACCCCTCCCAATAAAACCAAAACCCCTCCCAGTACAACCAAAACTCTTCCCAGTACAACTGAAACTCTTCCCAGTACAACGGAACCCCTCCCAATAAAACCAAAACCCCTCCCAGTACAACTGAAACTCTTCCCAGTACAACGGAACCCCTCCCAACACAACCCAAACCCCTCCCAGTACAACTGAAACTCTTCCCAGTACAGCTGAACCCCTCCCAATACAACCAAAACCCCTCCCAGTACAACTGAAACTCTTCCCAGTACAACGGAACCCCTCCCAACACAACCAAAACCCCTCCCAGTACAACTGAAACTCTTCTCAGTACAACTGAAACTCTTCTGAGTACAACTGAAACTCTTCCCAGTACAACGGAACCCCTCCCAATAAAACCAAAACCCCTCCCAGTACAACCAAAACTCTTCCCAGTACAACTGAAACTCTTCCCAGTACAACGGAACCCCTCCCAGTAAAACCAAAACCCCTCCCAGTACAACTGAAACTCTTCCCAGTACAACGGAACCCCTCCCAACACAACCCAAACCCCTCCCAGTACAACTGAAACTCTTCCCAGTACAGCTGAACCCCTCCCAATACAACCAAAACCCCTCCCAGTACAACTGAAACTCTTGCGAGTAAAACTGAAACTCTTCCCAGTTTAACCGAAACTCCTCCCAGTAGAACTGAACCCCCTCCCAGGACAACCAAAACTCCTCCCAGTACAATTGAAACTCCTCCCAGTACAACCGAAACTATTCAAACAAATATTCGAAATCTAATATCTTACTGTGTGCATAAAATAACTATATTATTCGACTCATTTTGTGCAGGACAGCCTGAGATTTTGTTATGATGTTTGGCTGATTTCAGTTATTTGTTTGGTGAGGTAAGAAAGCAAAGGAAAGTGTGCCAACCAGCCCCATATCCCTGCCATAAGTTTACAGTGCAGTATTTAGAGCGGTGAACGTGGTGTGAGTGAGTTGAGGGTTAGCAAATGAACCTGTTTCACAGTGTGGTCCGGTGTAGCGCGGCGGACAAACACAAACAGAACCGCTCTGATCCACACTGCAGACCCCACCATTTAAACAGGGGTTATCTCTGCACTGCTCCGACCCTGCAAACATACAGACGGTCTCAGGATTTTCCATTAAAACAGCAAAATCTCAAAGTGCTTACCAGCAATTAGTTGACTGTACGAAGTTTAAATGTCATTTAGCACAAAAAAACTTGCTGATATTCAAACTAATTACAATGTAAATGTAAATTACTATTTAAATGTGAGTCAGTTGTATAAAAAAGGTAATGCTTTACAGTACAGTAACACCTCATTACAATTACATAATCATTTTCAAACATTCATAAAACAAAACACAACACAACATGCTCATGCATCAAATTCTCTGTCTCTATATCTGTGTCTGTATCTTTGTGATAATCCAGCTCAGAAATCCAGTTCAAACACTTCCTGAATCTGTAGAGTCGCCCTTTCCATTCCATCTCATCACGAGATCCTACGAGACTCACATCCGGAGTTATGAGCCTATGAAGAGGGGCTGAGATACACGTCATCTGCCTCTCACCGCGTGGAACTGGTGGATTCGTGTGTCCGTCTACATTCTGTGTGAAACTGACCAATGGACACTCAGGAAATCACTAAGGACTGACCATCACGCTGGAAACACTTCATTCTTCATTCAGTCCACATCGGAGACTCATGTGAAACGGCGTGCAGACAGTTTACAGCTGCTGAAGCTGCTGCAGCGGTTTTGGAAAGTAGTGATGAAGATAACAGAGCATTTTGATATGAAACATATGAGGATCATGTTATATGAAGAGACTTTAAAGGAGAGTTTAAGAAGAGATGAACAAATCGAGAAAATGCTCTCAGACCCCAGAAGGGTAATGAGTAACAGACAATTAAGTTAATAATTTGAAAACACACTCAGTGATAAAACAATGAGAGAGCTTGGCTGTGTCTATGAAGATACTATGGAAAAAAAATTCCTGATTGGATAATTTGCCATTGGGAGGTTCAAATTTTAAACCTTTTCTTTTTAGCCAAATCTTATTGAAAAAAGAGTATTACTACAGTACAAGTACAATGATTCTATTAAATAAACATTTATTTTCAGGGTCCCCCTCAGTAATCCATTTTGTTTGCTCTATTCTAAGAATACATAATTGTGCAATTTATAGTGCTTGGCCCCCTGTATTGCTAGTCTTATACACCATCTCATATTACACTGGCCTGTTTCAGTATCACCTGTATCTTCAGTACGGAATGCATTTGTATTGTGTTGATTGTATTATATGAAAATTAGTCAAATCCAATTTTAGTAATTCTTCATATTTTCATGCAGTGTGCTGCATATATTTTATCGGAATATTTAGGAAAGTGTACTTACTTTGGTATCGATACCAAAACTCCAGCTGTAAGAAAAATGACATGACAAGAAAACGGCAATGTTGACAGAAGTTAAAACAGCTTAAATGAAATTCAACAAGTGATATTTAAGCCTGTAGTGGTGTAGATGGCCCTAATCTAAAGCCACTATAATCCACTGCCATATCATACTGTTATATGTTGCTTGGTCGTTTAATAGAAACATAGACATTATACTTTTTTCCAGTTTAACAAAGTTCCCTGTGGCCTCTGAAAGACAGCTGTGAAGAGTACAAAGACTGACCCCTTGTTTTCACCTTGTTTGACCTGGGGGGTAGGTAGTGTGGTCATTGTGCTGTGGTGGCTGCAGCAGAGCACCAGTGGTGTGTCCAGACCATTTATAGAGGTGGTTGCCAGTGGGTTTATACCCAACCCTATCCAGCACTGACAACCTAATAACCAACTAATAATCAATTTGGTCTAATCAATAACTTCAATTCACAGCTTCAGTGTGGGCCCATCCAGTCAGCACTGTTAATGTTAATTTTTGCTATTAGCTCTGTGGGATTGTCTATAGGCAAGGAACATAAGCGCCTAAAAACGGGTTAACACAAATTCTGTTATTGCCTTACAGACAATTATTAATCTCAGAAATACTGGTGTTTGAGTCACTTCAGCTCACCATGGAAAGGTGTGTCACATTATTTTTGTCCTAGTTGCCAAGATTGAAATTTGAGGATGTGTCCAGAATTGCTGGAGGACACTAAACCTGTGGGATTCCAAGCTGAATAAATGGTAGAAATTCTTTGTGGAAAAAATTCCTGCACAGCTATAGGAGAATGATAGCGCCAGGAGATATTGAAATAGCTTGCTAACAAGAAACTAGCAAAAAGGTAAACACACCCCAGCAGGGGGGCGTACTGTGTCATCATGGTCCATAGGACCACCGTAGGTGTTTTCCACAACCACCAGCTCCAGTAAACGAACATCTACTCCCCAATCAGCCCTCGCTGTCTCAGATGCCGACAGTTTTTGAGGGTGAATAAAACTGTTCCACTGAAAGCGGCTGCAGCACCAATTTTAAAACGTGAACTGCCTTCGGTGTCAGTGTAACGTTAGGCTGCAATCTCTTTTATGGCTCTTAGGCTTTTTATGTGTTGATTACATGTATATTTGTGTGTGTTTGTGTACCGTTTTCTCTTTGCTCTGAAAGATCTCTGCAGCCTCCTCCTGAGAGCACAGCTCCTCATAGCATTCCCGCTCAAGATCCCCCGGCGTAATCTCCTCCAGAAAGTAATTTGCCCTGCGATTTCGGACATTCCGCAACAGCTGGAATGCATCTCTCCGCTCCACAACCACTGTTAATGAAATATCACATGGACAAAAACACAGTTATGTTACAGGCACTCACACTTTAATGAGCAAAGCAGCTGAATTCTTCACCTTGACCTCAGAGACAAGTCCCAAGTCTCTGAGGTATGAATCTTCTCTCTGTGGTGTCAGTCCAAGTCCCAGGTCTCTGGGAAGTAAGTCTGAGTCAAGTATCAAATTTCTCAATTGTAGTCCAAGTCTTGAGTCTGAACTTTGAGTCTCTCAGGTGTGAGTCCAAGTCAAGTTTTGTCTCCAAGTTGTAGAGCGAGTCATGAGGTGAGTTGAGTCTCTGAGGGGCAATTCTGAGTCAAATCTCGAGTCTCTGAGATGCAAGTGTGAGTCAAATCTTGAGTCTCTGAGGCCGTGAGTCTGAGTTAAGTCTTGAGTCTCTGCAGTGAGAGTCCGAGTCAAAATTTGAGTCTCTGATGTTCACCTTGCAGTCAAGTTTTTGTCTCTGAGCTGTAAGCCTGAATCTTGAGCCTCTGACGTGTAAGTCTGAGTCAAGTCCTTAGTCCCTGCATTGCAAGTCAGAGTCAAGTGTTGAGTCTCTGAGATTCGTGTTCCCATCAAGTCTGAAGTCTCTGAGTCCAAATCTCTGAGATGTGAATCCGAGTCAAGTCTGGAGTCTGAGGTTCACATCACAGAGTCTCTGAGGTGCGAGACCAATCTCAAATTTCTGATGTGCGGGTCCAAGTCAAGCCTTGAGTCTCTGAGACACCAAGTCTCGACTCGAGTGTGAATGTGTGAATGGATTCTACTCTGTACACTAACCTGTCGCAATAAGTGGTTGTATTAGCTCTGGCATGTATCTGGCATTGTAAACAGGTACTTCCTCTGGATACCATTGTTTGCAGTGTCCAGAAACGTACCTCTCTACAGTTCTCTGTCTGTTCTAATCTTATTCAAACAAACAGTAAAGTGACCTCAAAAGATACAGCATAAGGACTAACCTGCTGATTGCAGACGTGGCGTAAGTGTCCCAAGGAAAAGAACCACAAACCAGTATGTAGGTTCAGACATCAGGATTCAGCTGCTCTGTAAGGAATACACAATTTTTACCGGACAGCCAGTATCTTTGCTGTCCTGAGGCAAAAAGACTGGATGTATTATCAAATGGCTAGAGCAAAAGGAGCTTAGGTGCAGCGATGGTAGTAAACAGTGTCTGTTAGAGCAGGACGTCCAGTCAAGCACTACTCAAGCACCTGTGAAAACACTGTGAAACACTGTTTGTATGGAATGAAATGTAAGCTAGTTATAAAAGTGAGTATATTGGTTTCATAATTAGCCTTGGTTTGTCCAATCAACATTACTATGAGAATGCAATTTTTTTCTAGTGTCTCAATGGGATTTGTAATGTTATGTTGAAAGTCCACAGGAATATTTTATGGTAGCGGTAATACTGACATTTGAAGCTTGTAGAAGGCATTTCTGTAAAAAAAAATATTTTACTTTGTTGTAAAAAGTACTTGAACTTTGTTTTATGGTGACTCCTTCAGTAAAGACCTCAGGCATAGAATGGCAGCTGCCGGCTTGTGTTCACTGTAAGTGATATATCTAGAACTTATGCCTTGAGTGACGCTTTACTCATGAAATTAGTTCCACCCGGTAAAACAACGGTAAAACAAGAGTACTACTACAGTACTTGCAGAATTGGAATAGAACAAGCATGATTCTATAAAAATCAAACTTCACTAAAATTATTGACATGGATACTGAGTTAGGTGCTCTCTGAATATCCCTTCTGACCAGGAGTAAGTTGGAGTTAATTTAAGCATTTCTTCACCATTTCAATTCACCATGTGAACTTCTGTATACTCACTCTTTTATCGCAGATCCCGGTGAAACTCCTATCTGCTCGAAGGCCAAATGCATACAATGAAACATATAATGAGGAGAAAAAGTCCCATCAGCTGAGTATCGGTAAATCTGTGTTTGTACTGTGCTCACCACTTGACCTTTAGACAGCCAGCATATTTGCTTTTACTCACACACAATTTGTCAAAATTTAACAGAGGTGGGCAGCAGGGGGTGGTTTACCCTTTTAAATCTAAGCTTTTTAGATGCTCCTATAAATATGAATGGGATTGTGCATCTTCCTTCATACTCTGCAGGCTCAGAATGGACCACATTCAGACTGAATTGTATTAGGACCAGAGACGTTAGGACTGAATTATGTTCAGACTGGTTTGGGCCCAACTGATCCTTTGCCAAGTAACCCACTCTTGGGTACTGTTGGGTACTACATGCAGAATATCACAAAGGAGTAGAAAGATAGGTCTCCCATTTACATATGAAGACCCAAGACATAGAGTTGTGATCTTTTGGCGGTCTAATGTCCACGATGCTCTATTGTCCCCTGTAACCCCCTATGGTGTCCTAGAATGTGCTATGATGCTCAGTAGTGCCCTGCACTGCCCTGTGGTGTTCTATGGTGGCCTGTGATGCTCTGTGCTGTGCTGCGATGTCCTAAGGCATTCTATGGTGCTCTGTGGTGCTCTATGGTGCCCTGTGTTGCTCTGTGCTGTCCCACGATGCCCTATGGCATTCTGTAGAGCTCTGTGAGGCCATATGGTGTCCTATGATGCCCTGCAGTGCTTTATGGTGCCCTATGGTGTCCTGTGATGCCCTATTTCACCCTTTGGTGCCCTGTTTGTCTCGGTGGTACCCAGTGAGATTCTAAGGTGTTTTGTGGGTCCCTGTGGTGTGTTGTGATGCCCACGTCCCTAATGTGTCCTTTCTTGCCCTGTAGTGCTCTGTGGTGTACTGTCTTGCCCTGCGGAACCCTATCGCGCTCTTTGGTGCTCTGTGGTGTCTTTGGTGCACCATGGTGTCCTGTGATGCCCATGCTGAGTCATATTCTTAATACGTAATAGCTAAAATGATCAAAACTTGCACTTTACAACTTTATTCTGGATCATTGTGAAAACAATTAAAGTAATCTTCAAGCATAAAGACCAAGTCCACTTTACATTTGTACGAGTTTAAAGAGTTATGATGCTAACAGTTTTTATTGTTTTTTTTTTTTTTAATAAAGCCATCATTTCTAGATATATTCCTTAAATGTTACTGTAAGGCAGTTTGCTGTTACATCTGTAATTATTATATTCCCAAAAAAAGGCATAAGGTTTGGAAACAGTTCAGATTCTGGTTCTTTTTCTGTCTGTTCTGGTTGAGGTCCCTCTTCTTTCTCAGAGTTCCTCCTTACTTGACAATCTGCAATTGATTCACTTTCCTTTCTTGATTGTGAACAGCTGAGATCCATAGGCTTGTCCTGAAATTCAAGCCTGTGTCCGTTTGAGTGCTGGTGACCAATTATGTTGCTTTGAAACTGACTTGGTCCAGATTTTGGTGCACAGTTGGCCTCAGTGTCCCTCTCACTGTCTGCTTCTGAGTAGTGCCGCTTGTGTGCTCCATGGGGACTCCTTTGGTCTGAATAGGGAATGATGTCCTTTTTGGAAGGCTTTGCAGTCAGGCTGGTCATCAGCTGCAGTGTTACTTCATTAAATGTTGAACTGCTTAACTCTTTTGGTTTGTCCGTCTCAGCAGCCAATAGGCTTGATGTAATATAGTCATTTACAACAGGATGGAGCGGTCCATTTGTGAGCCCACTTGGGGGAGGCTTGGCCTCGTCTTTGCTGTCCTTTTCACAACCGTTCTCAAGGCTGGGCTTCTCAGAGTGCCTAAGTTTTCCAGCAACATTGGACTCATTATCCAGTAGCTGCTCCACCCCCACGTCTGCTTCCCTATGTATCATCTTGGGAGCCTGGGTGCCATTTTCCATATACTTACTCATGACGATGACGATTCGTCCATTTATATTCTTGTTCTTCACAATCTTCAGCTTGGTGCTTATTCCACTGGCAGGAGCCTCCTTAGCAATGAGACCGGAGCCAAGTTCTGACTTACCACCACCTCTCAGGTTAGTTGGAAGCTCCTCAAGCTCTATGGTGATGTCCTTCACTTTTGCTGGGGCATCCTTAACCCTTTTCTGCTGCAAGGCCTGAGGAACCATCCGTCCTTCTTTAGCCGCCTCAGTCTCCTTCATCTTCTGGTACATTTTGCGGTTAGGCTGGTGTTTTTTGCTGTTCAGCTGTTTTTTCCTATTAGCCAGAGGCTCCCCCAGGCTTTTCTTGCAGATACGCTGGTACGGGTGGTGCTTTTTGCTGCTCTGCTGCGTCAGACGGCCACTTTTGTCTTCCTCCAAGCCTGAGAAGGTGCTGGATCTCCGAGCAAATGATTGGACCTGAAACATGGAAGCAAAGTAATCATTAATCTGTATAAAAGGGCAGAAACAGATGTATGTTTGAGTGGAGCCACAGTGCAAAACGTGCCTTGATGCAGGTGCAGTATCTGCTCTATTTTTTTCCAAAAATGTCCAGTTTCCCCCATTACCTAGTTCTGTCACTGTCATATGATGCTACCTGTCTGGGAGAGTGAAGGCTGGCAGAGACATGTGAACCTCCACCACCATCTTTTCAAACTGCTGCTAACTCAGTGTGATTAGGCAGCTCAACACACTCGTAGGAGATGCTAACTGTGTTTTGCCAGCTAACAGACACCCATATTGGCTAGCATCATGATGGGGAGAAGGAGGACCACCCTGCCCACCCATAGAGAGAAGGGCAATAATAAACTCTTGGACCACGGGTGGCTGTGGCACCACTGGGAACTTAACTCACGATCCCCTGGCGTTAGAACCACCGCTTAGACACTAATCTGTTTGCTCAAAACCTGCAAAGACATGGGTGAAAAATATTTGGCCATGAAAGAGAAGAAAATGTTTCACAAGTGGACTGAAAGAGTTTGTCCCTCACTTGCATAAGAAGATGTTTAGGTTTTGGGCCTCGTTTGCGATATCCCATCATCTGCTCCTGACGCTCCCTACAAAAAGAGAAGAAAGTAATACTTAGATCCTCTACATGATCTACATGGAATTTTGTTGTTGGGGCATCATTTGCTTAAAAAATACATCTGGCATTATTTTGTTGCATCTTATCTAACCAAAATATGCAAGGCAAAGGTAGCGTTTCACAGAAACACAACAATGTTGCACAAATTAAGTTAAAGCACCTGAGTTCCAACACATTTTCTGCCCCTGATGAGAGTTAACTGACTAGCCGAAGTGGCAAATGTCACCTGAGTATAGGTAACATCAGACAACATGTTAGAAAACGTGTTAGAAAATGTGTCCAATGGAAGAGAGAAATATTTTAGTGAAGTTTAGTATAGTGTAGCGAAATTAATCAAAAATTTAAAGCCTCCACTTCTCCTCTTTCTCCATCACTTCACCTGTTTTGGAATTTGACCAGCAGGTGTGGGTCCAAAATGTTTTCCTCAGGTTCCCATGTGTTATACCTACAAACAAAAGACAAAAGGCTTTGATCATACCTGGTATTGACACACCTGGTGTGATCACAGTAATGTGCCACAAGTTCTTGTTGGTGTAAATGTTCATCATCCACTGAGGTGAAAGAAACTTGGGTAGAAGCACCACAGGTCATCATCTACCACTGCAACAGTTAGCTCTAGTGTTAGCATTAGCTCATTAGCTCTTTCAAAGTAGCCTCTGTTTCTGAAGCGCAGTAACCAAAAGACTTTCTTTGGCTATTTTTCAAATGTTTTTAAATGTACATTTCTGTGAGTTGCTAAATCTCCCATGTGCTGCTGATTGTTTTGGCCTGCTAGCACCGGTTTACCATTATGGATTGTTATACATTATGGTCAAGCGAAAAGCCAGTTTTTCCTTACCTGTGATTAACTAAATATTTACTCATTAACTGTTGAGTCAAAAATGATAGATCAGGGGTCGCAACACAAATGTTAAGAAGAGCCATTTTGTCCTTTCAACAAAAATCAAACCACTTTAGCCACCACAAAATTTTATGTCAAGTTTATTGAAGTAACATTTTACCATCTTGGCTGTAAATATCTCAGTATGTGCTGATGTACTGGTATAGACTAAAACATATAAACAAAAACGCAGACTTACTTTGCTCTGCTTTAAGCTTTAGCTCAGCTATAGCTGCTTTTCTCGCATCTCCAGCAGGAAACTTTTTTGCAAAAGTAGAACAGTTTCTTGTAAAATGTCTGTCAACGTTTGACTTCTTACGAGGCTGAAGTCGCTTCTCATTCGCCAGCTTCTTGTTCGAATTTTCCTGTTCCACCTTAAATGGTGCCCGAGGCACCAGAAGTTAACTGCTGCACCATTTAAGGTGGAACGGGAAAATTTGAACAAGAATTTGGCAAATGAGAAGCTGATTCAGCCTTGTGACTTTTTAGTGTTTGTCAGTTTCTCGTTGCAGATTAAACGTATCAGGAAACCAGCTGGATTATAAATGCAAATAAGTCCATTTGTGGCCAAATTATCGATGTTCGTCTTAAATCTCTCTCTTTGCCGTTTCATTAGCTACTAGCTAGACGAGATTGTCGTCTGTGTTGCTATGGTGATCAGCAGTCTGCGCTGATCTTCAGGGTTAAAGGGTGAATTAGCAGTTCTACATTAACTCCAGAGTTTAAGACCATTTATTGTTAAACTGTGTTGAACGATCAGCAGAGCTTTATTTTACTGTAAAGGAGGATTATTTTATTTTTACCTACAAATCTAATTCTGCTGTGGAGCCACAACAGGGCAGTAATCTCCTGCTGCTGACCCCTGTGATAGATAGAAAATGAGTCAGAATGTACATCCCTAAACCAAAGCTCGTTATGGTTGTCATCTTCAACAGCTCATGGAGAACATGTAGCAGCAGTGGGTGAACATCTCAAAATTACAAATGCATCAGGACAAGCATTAACAACACACGCAGATTAAATGCAAAATAATATAGAAAATACTGCACAGTGCAGTAAGCAAAGACATTGGATTAGAGTTGTTAGTGCAGTTTTTTATGGCGGAAATGAACTTGTGCATCAGAACCAGCAGCGGCAGTGCAGTACACACATGGGTTTGACTTCTTTTCCTCACTCACACATTCGAACTGCAGTCCAGTTAAATGCACACTTACTTGGGTGACCAGTCCCTCCACTTGACCAAATACTCAAACCTCCCCTGTGGAGAAAAATGAGCAACTGTTAGCGAGAGAACTTTTCCTAAACACTAGATTGACTCATAGTAGTAAAGTGATTATGGATACAATACCATGCTAAAACAACATTCCTGCAGCTAATAATGCATTTTATTTGTGAATTCAGATGACGTTGGCGTCCATTGTGATATCTGTCAATATTAGGGCCTAAAAAGTCCTGTGGTCTAAGTCCTGTGGTCCTCCTCAAAGTCTGCACTTTGATGACATCAACAATGTGCAGCTGTAGAGGCCAATAGAGTTCAAGGGCGCTGGGTTAAGTGTGCGTTTTGGGACACGTTAGTGCAACACACATACAGAACCCAATGAAATTATAATATGGGTTGTACTGTTTTTCTTTAATGAGCTAATTTGCATATCTACAGTTGCACAATATAGATTATCACCATAATGTGGCTCAATGAGAAGTTTTAACTCACATCTGAAGATCTTTTTTTCTGTGTCACAAGGAATTTCGCATAAGAAGCCACTACAGAATCTGCATTAGTATAATCTGCATCGTTCCAGTCGTTATCTTACAAAGTGTTCTTCCGAGCGCTCCTCTGAACCGTAAACAGAAAAATGAGACACCCTACTGGCACATGTTCCTCGCAGGTGCACTTGAGGACCACAGGACTGCAAGTGGTCCTCAATGCAGTCCTACGGTTCCCCATGCCCATGTTTTTGCTCTATCCCAACTGCCCCACACCTGAGTATTGAGTGTTCTAAATGGCTTCAGGTGTGGAGCTGGGAAAGAACAAATATGTTGACCATCTGGGACCGGACTAAGTTAAGAACCACTGCTCTAAACCTCTCTTACTTTCTAGCTGACCACTTGGGCTCAGAGTAAACAAGCTGTCAAGAATTTCACAGTCCAGTCAAGTCAAAGTTTATTTATATAGTGCTTTTTACAACAGGTGTTGTCACAAAGCAGCTTTACAGAATAAAATCCAGTTTGTCCACAGGATCATATAGGCAGCGAGTTGGGGAAGTGAAGGAAACTAGTATATAGATGTTTCTTCACTTTGTTTCATCCATTATGGGCCCTAAGATGCCGCTCTACTTATTACCTCATGCAAAAGATGTGAAGAATGTAACTATTTTTCTACTAACTTTTTGTTCAAAAATATGAATGCAGATTCAGAAGTCATATTTATAAACAGCTAGACCCTGTCGCCATCTGTCCATGCCACTGGGCAAGCTGTGACATGATCCCGATCAGTTTCAAAAGGCCTCTGAGGACCCCCTGCCCAAATGATGGACTCCAGATCTAAGCTGTAATGTTTTGTCCTCCATATATTTTCCCCCAAATGTCACTGGGTCCTCTGAATCGACATATAGTACACAAGTAAAAGTGCTCTGGAAATAATTTTGCCCTAGTAGCTGTCAGTGTACATGAGCAGCAAGTTAATCAGCAACTACTGGTTTGATATTAAGAGAATGGTAATACCAAAGTGTTACTAAAATTAATGCTCATTAGAGTGGAGGACGTCATCTGAATGAAAAAAATAGACTAATAAAAAACAATATTAGCTGAAAGTGTAAGTTACTGCATTACGTACAGATCCTAAATCGAGATTATTGCATGAAGCATAGCTGCACTGACTGATACAGACCTTAAAACATGGCAAAAACAAAAGCTAAAAAACATCTCCCAAACCTTCCGGATCCGTTTCTTTTCGATGCTCTCCACAGTGAAGACGTGCTCTCCTGCGGCGAACAGCTCCATCTCCCTGCTGCTCGGTTACTGGATCTTCAGTATGAGTTTGTGTGACTGCGAGTGAATGTGAACACTGCAAGTGCAGCTTCACACAGGACACCTCCATGCAAAACAGCTGTTGGTGTGACACCACGGACAAAGATGATGCCCACGCCCACCGCCCTCACTCTCTGGGCCAAGATTTGTGGCAAAATGAGCTGCTGATGCTTTCGAGTTTGCAGAATTCTGACCACGTTCTAAAACACTTCGGCTCAAGCTATCAGAAAATCCATCAGGTTCTAAAGCGAGAACGGTAGTAAAAGGTACCTGTTCTCATACTTAATTCCTCTTGAGTTTATTACTCATAACTTCCAACCTTCATCTAGGAGAAACAAAAAACGAATGGCCTATTTAACGAATAGTATTTGGTCCTATTGGGAGACATATTGTGGTGTTCCACAAGGTTCCATTTTAGGGTCTTTTTTTCTTTTCTTGTTCTTTCTCTTTCTCTTTGTTACTTCTAAGCAAAGTCATCAGGGAACATGAGATCAATTTTCATAGCTATGTTGATAGTTCCATTCCTTCTAATGATGATTTTCTTGACAGACAAATGAGCTGTATTTGAAATATTGAAATTTGAAAGTATATTTGAAGGAACTGCACTAGCTGCCTGTATATTTTAGGAAAAATGTCTTGCTAGTTTTTAAAGCTCTAAATGGCCTTAAAGCTCCTGAATGTCTGACTGTTCCAGCATGTGATCTAAAATGTGTGAATACTGGCCTAATGTAAACAACTTCTGTAAAATACAGAAAAAGCAGGAGAGACTCTCTGTTATTCTGTTTCTAAACTGTTAACAGTTGAAAAAAAACTGAAATTTTTAAACAGCTGAAATATTTAAAAATCAAATTTGAAATACTAAAATTCTTTCATTTTTCAATGCAAAGCAATTTGAGCTTGCTCTACAAATAACTGAGCAACTGGGAAGTCTTTCTCAGAAAGTCAGGTAGGTGATCTCAACTCTGCATTAGATGTCATGTTAACATGTCTGTTCGCATTGTCAACTATAATAAAGCACCATTTCTCTACTATTAAAAGAGATTGTAGTTATATCAGTATTAGCTTTAAATCAATCAATGTACAGATAGTAGTTGGTTAAATCTGTATCACTGATGATAACCTTTGCTGTTTTGAGAAGGTAAATACATCATAGACATTAAAAATGTTATGACTCATATCAATAATGTTAGCTGGCTAGTTTGTTGCCAACAATACTCACTTTCATAGAGGCGACCATGTTTTTCCACACTTTGTAGCGGAGATTGGAGTTTCCCACCTCCCACAGCATGAATGTTAGAACATGTCAGGATTCTGTGTGCAAGCTAAAAGGTTCTGACGTTGGAAGTGGGCTTAATCCTGGAACAATAAATTATATTGATAGGATTTATAATATTTTGAGTGTACTGTGTACGTAGGAGGGAGTTTGCATGTTCTCCCCGTGTCTGTGTGGGTTTCCTCTGGGTTTTCCGGTTTCTTCCTACAGTCCAAAGACATGCAGTCAGGCCAATTGGGCAAGCTAAATTATCCCTGGGTGTGAGTGTGTGTGAATGTGTATGCCTGTGTGCCCTGTGATGGACTGACGACCTGTCCAGGGTGTATCCTACCTTCCACACAGTGACCGCTGGGATAGGCTCCAGCGACCCAGAAGGATGAGCAGCTTTAAATGTGTGTGTGTGTGTGTGTGCAGGGATGTTCTGCACTCTGATCTTTGATCTGAAACTCCAGTCCTGGTTTTCCTTCATTCAGACACACTCAGATGCCTTGTAAGTGTCACACTGACATGCTGCTAAAACACCATCAGACACAGTATTTTTCATTCTCATTGATAGTGTAATGTTTAGTCATTGTGTTTATAGTATTATATTGTATTATAATTGTCTTTTCCCATCTGAAAATCTCCAAAACCTGGACTCAGCGTGAGTCTTGGGCTTTGTCGCCCCCTCTGGTGCAAATGGAAATTGTCAAAAGTATATTTAATACTGCTGTTTAATACTCATTATATTAAATAATGAAAAATATTTATCTATCTATCTATCTATGTATATATACTCACTGAGCACTTCATTAAGTCAACCTCCTTGTATCTACACTCATTGTCCACTTTATCAGCCCCACTGACCGTATAGTTTCTGTAGTTCTACAGTTACAGACTGTAGTCCATCTGTTTCTCTGTACCCTGTTCTTCAGTGGTCAGGACCCCCATGGACCCTCACAGAGCAGGTACTATTTGGGTGGTGGATCATTCTCAGCACTGCAGTAACACTGACGTGGTGGTGGTGTGTTAGTGTGTGTTGCGCTGGTCTGAGTGGATCAGACACAGCAGTGCTGCTGGAGTTTTTAAACACCTCAGTGTCGCTGCTGGACTGAGAATAGTCCACCAACCAAAAATATCCAGCCAACAGCATCCTGTGGGCAGCGTCCTGTGACCACTGATGAAGGACTAGAGGATGACCAACACAAACTGTGCAGCAGCAGATGAGCTATCGTCTCTGACTTTACATCTACAAGGTGGACTGACAAGGTAGGAGTGTCTAATAGAGTGGACAGTGAGTGGACACAGTGTTTAATATGGGCTCAGACATGGGCCTGATATTTGTGCAGGCTTGTTCAGCTCATATGAACACAGCATGTCACATTAGAAAGCACTTTTGTATCCTTTGTAGTTATAAGTTGTAATGAACGTAGTTTATACACTGGGATTCCAACACAGGGCTGCTTACAGAGTAAAATGATACCATTGTAGGAACCAGCTGGGCCTCTTTGCAGGCTGGCATTTTGCCTTAATGCCTGTAGTGCTACTTCCATGTGTCTTAACTGGCTTTTGAGCAGATCAGACTGTCAGTTTTTTGGATATTTTCCATTTTTTAACGGTGACTGGGTGCAGAAATGAGGCCATAGGGTTTTGGTTACTCATGAGCGCCTTCTATGCGCCCTTTGTTAAGGGCTGCATTGATGAAGACCCGGCAGAAGGCACTTACCCACAATCCCAAGGACCTGTCAGAGTGGAGGGGTTGTTTACAGTTGTCAGACCAGCATAGTGGAGAAGATATTCAGATTATATACCAAACGCTGTACCAAAAAAATTGTAATTAGTGTGCATGTTTCAGATAAATAACCTAAAACATTAAAGGGCCTAAAAATAATGGGAAAACAAAGAGTTTGATGTTGTATGTAAACGTTTAAAGTTTTAAAGTTAAAGTTTTAAAGTTCATTGTCAGTCCACACATTCCATATCCAGAAATGAAGCCCCCCCAAAACAGCCTGTTTTGGACTCAGCGTGACTTTTGTGATGTGACAAAAACCAACACATTCACATATATCTGCCTTTTCAGTTTACAGTAGTTTAGCCCCGCCCACTCACACTGAAGTTATAAGGAGTGTTTCAGTCCAGATTGCTGAGGAACAGCCAATCAGAACAGAGCTCGATTACAAAATCAGTCTTAAAGGCACAGTATCAGACACAGTTTAAGGGATAAAGGGAGGCTGGAAAACGATCATGTAGAAATGAATTTTGACTGATTTTGATACACAAAACCACAAAAATAATAATACTAATAATGATAAGTTACAAAATACCCCTGGTAACTTTAACTAACGAGATATATTCATTAAAATATTTAAAAAATGGATTAGATAATTAGCTAAACGATTGATTGATTAATTATATTGTTATAGTGGGCAGTTAGATCCCATTGTTTTGAAGTAAATGTGTCCCAAAGTCTGAAAATCAATGTGGAATATTAAGAATCGTCATATTTTCTGCAGTTCAGCACTTTTTAGTGTTTTAATATCAAATATGATGATTTTCTGTGTGAATGGCTGTTCAAAGAGTTTCTGAGCTCAAAATGAGCTAAAATTGTCACCGAAACAGTCACTACTGACACATTTGGTACAGTTTTTGGTAGAGTTATGATTGTTTTGGTAGAGACTAAAGGGAATGTTCAATCATTTCAATAATAAAATAATCATAATTAAGGTTTAGAGTCACTCAGAGCAAAAGGGTTTTAGTCAAAAGTCCAGGTTTAGTTACCCAAGTCCCAATTCTGTTTCAACAGAACCTTACAGTGAGACTGCCCTCATAAAGCGTTTATGACTGGTTTGAAAATCATCTTAAAAATCATTGATGATCAGTTATAACACAAATAAAAAAGGGCAACAGTGACTGGCTGCTTGCCAAATAGTGAGCCCATGAACATCACCACTGTTAAAACTCAGATGTTGCTGGTGATTGAACTTAGTTTATCTTCTCCATCAGTCAGCATTAAACCTCACTTATTCACATTCATGACATATAACAGCTCATTTTTGAGCCTGTTATTAATGTGTCATAACTGTATTCATTACTGTAAAGTAATGCTAATTAATTAAGATTAATAAACTAATTTAAACCATTTATACACCCTTTATAAGCGTAGTCTTATTGTAAGGTGCTTCTGTTAATCGTTTATGCTCTTCAGTGAGCTCCTTTATCTCTCTCGAGTGTTGGAAAACCAGAATCATTTTCTTTACTGTCTCTGTTCCTCAGCGTTTCCTTTATTGGTCTGTTCAGCTGTGTTTTTCAGAGCTTATCTTTTGGTCCATTCATCATGAAGCTTTCACAAAATGTACAGGCTGGCTTTTTAAATTATGTAAACAAAACAACAACAACAACAACGGAGCTGTGAGGTTTCATTTCCAACAGCAATGATGTATTTTATTGACAGCTGTCAGACTGTGAGAGGAATTTCTCTACGTTTTGCCAAAGATGTTCTTGCCATCATTGATGGAACAATGACCTCTAAATTATACCAGCAGATTCTAAAAGAAAATATCAGGACATCTGAGTCTGACCTGAAACTCAAGAGAACTGGGCCATGCAGCAGGACAACGACCCAAGGCACACAAGTCGTTCTACCACAGAACAGTTAAAGAAGAGTAAAGTTACTGTTTTGGAAAGAGTCAAAGTCCTGACCTTAATCCTACAGAAATGCTGT